CTCCGACTCAGTGAGCCGCTGGTTTGTAAGCTATTCCACTTCATCAATTTCTCAGTTGAAAATGCAATCATAGGTCAGACAACCTATGGAAAACTCTAAAAGCACCTTGGATAATCCCCAAACAGATCGGTTTCCTTTTAGTGGGTTGATGTAATTAACAATTAAAAGTGGCGCATTTCTTTGCTCTCTATTCGCCTATTTTCTCCCCTTCAACATACACTGGTTTATGCTTTTTGCAAAAACCAGAAAGTGGAAGCAATTTTACAAAAGAAAAGCCAGTTGACTTACTAAAACATAGGATAGGGATTGAAAATGAAATTGCACTAATGCTTCACAGTCGAACGATCAGTGAATAGTGCGATGTGGACCTTTTTACCACTCAAATGTTCTACTGCAGTTTACTCGTGGAGATCTGCAGGTTATACGCCTTAATCGCCATGTCTATCGTCTGTATTAACGGCGTCTGGTCACACTTTTACCATTTCTACTTGTGGTTCAGCAACAGTAGCTTCCAATTTTATCCCCGTGAAAGGAAAAGTTTTGGTTGGACTTGAAAGCATTCCGTATTGCAGCTATGCATAACGCTGTAGTGGCCTCTGAAGTTCCCGTGAATTGGTCTCCGCACTGAAGCAGGTCTCTGCTCAATTCACCTGCGTTACCAGTGGTTCCACTCTTCCATACGTTGATAATAAGACTTCTTCCCAAAATACCGAACAATTTTTGTTGGCGGGACTAATTTGCTAGGTTTTGAGCCTCACCTAAACTTGTTTTAGGACAGAGTTAGTTGGTGTGGGGTGGTATTGGCAGTGGTACTGCTTTTTTCACAGAGGCAACAAAAGCAACCGCCTACCGGGGAGTTGGCCACCGATTTTAAGAGGGTCGTTAACTGCCGAATTGGCTTTACGACAAGGTGCCGTAAAAAATCGTGCATTTGTGCCCGAATGAGTGGCCACCTATCCATGTGTCGGGCTGAAAGGAGAATATTTAAGTTGGCTGCATTGCGCTCCACTTAACCACGAAATTTCCATTTACACTGAATGTTCAACTTACCATTTTAATGTCGTGTTTATGAAGAAAATGGACTTATATTAACCGAGGCTTGACTTCATACTTCGATAATAGCTCAAAACAATCTGAGAAACATGGGTCACTGCAATTTTTTGGAGAATTGAAAGTGGTTGGTTTCATGACATCTCCTGTAATCATAACATCGGCTGAGGAATCCACAAGAGTTGCTTATAAAGTTTGTGGGTGAAAGAAAAGTAAGCCTGTTGCTTTTTTAGCAAGACTAATTATTACGTATTCTTTAAAAATTACATAGTTTTAAAATAGGGCTTCTATAAGTAAATATATCGATGTTCTTTCCCTGACATAATTGAAGAAATAATGCCTTTTCCCATAATAAAACGATGGAATATAGCTGATAGAGAATGGGGGTCACCGATCATTGAAACAATTGCTGGAGTGGAGATAGTTAAGCTAGTGCTAGTTTGAGAAATTATGGGGAGAACATCATCCATTATGAATGATTTAGCAAAAAAGTATTTGTGGTAAATACCTGCGTGTGCCCTTCGATCGCCGGAGTTTCAGCCGTTATCTTAACAACATGGCGTTCCGTTCACATCATTTCTGCTAGCAGTCACCAACTCCCCTGTACATGCATAATTCAGTCCTAACAGGACTCATATTTTACGAGGTTTATAGAGAGGAAGAGAGTTTCACCTAGGTAGTGGTGGTTTACAATCCATTTCAAATAAAAACAATTTTGATCTCTAAATATCACGCTTAGAATTTGCAGAAGAGGATAACTGCTGTGGATTGCCGCACCTGTGAAGACTCTTAACAGAGGTGGTGTTGAAGATACGACCACTTTTGGAATTCCCTCTAGTCTCGTGTTCTGCAGAGGGTCCATTGAGAACTGAAGCGATGCCGGAGTTGGACGATTCAAAAACACCTATTATGGAGCTCCTTCCACTTTTTACGTTGAGACTTATGAATTATGTGATCAAATGCCTCGTAACTTTTTTTTAAAAGTTGCGTGAAACCCATCCAGAAGGTTGGAGGGCACTGAACTGCAAATAAGGTGGTAAGAAGAAATAAATGTTCATTGTTAGTACATTGGACACAAAATGAGCGTCTTCAGGCAAATACTTCTACAAATGATGATTGATATAGGGAATGTACACACTGCGGAGCACCATTACCTCTTGATAGGATAAAGCTAGTGAAACCTCCCAACGCAACTTCAGATCAATGAAAGTTAGAATTGAAACTCCTTTTGTCTTAGTAAAAAACCCACCCACGACTTTTAGCTCTGAATTTGACGCGATTCCCAGTGCAGGTGGCCACAGAGCGCGCCAATCAAGAATCTACCGAGAAGAGGGAGACATGGAAAACATAACGTTGCGCATTCTCGTCGATTTCGTTCACCATGCGTCAATGCCACTCCTACAAACAGCCCACTTGTGCGTTCTAAACAAAGCCTCCTCCTAACTCACACTGTGACGCCGTCGTAGGGGTCTACGAGCGCTGCATAGGTAGCGCGAAGCATGTTTGTAGTCGAGAGACAACAAATAAAACACCCCTGCCTAACTTTATTACCCTCGAATTGACAAATAACCTCCCCGGTGGATGCAGAAATGTTCGCATTTCGTACAACCTTATGGAATACAAGTTGGAAAAGAATAATCACCCCTTTTTTAAAAGGCGGAGAGTGCTTTTAACAAATATTTCATGAGAACACACACCTTGTAAAAGGAGGATTGAAGGCGACAATTTCGGTTCGTGATCTGATTGGCCTTTCTACCATCTCTTTGCTAAGAGGGAAGTTCAAATACTCCGTACTATTTCATACCACTTATAAGAAAACTAAAAAACTTAAATAAGACTATTTAGAAGGCTAAAAATACACCATTTGATACAAAATAAGATGGATTTCGATTATCAATGAACATTTTCAACCGCTGTCAACGGATACGTCGAATCAAGGCCAAGTTTCTCCAAAGTCTGAGTGAAATAGGAAGGCAGGGAGGGCGATACAGCCGATAGGAAAAAGACCTTCTTTTTTGCATTTACAGGAAAAGATTTCCACGACAAAACCGGCCTGTCCTTTCGCGTGCTGATAATACGCCCCATAGGTGCTTTAGCTCGTCGTATAAAAACGTCCGCCTTTGGACCACATGGGAGAGGAGGAGGAATAAGGAGCTCGCTGCGATGAATGTGGGTCGGTAGGGTAGCACGTTGGAGGTTTCCTCCACCCAAAGCGCTCACAAGTTCCTTAGGAAGTGGAGCTCCAAGCCGAGCCATCGTGGGTGACAGAACCATCGGCACGCCCGAGGTAATTACCAATCGCGAAGCCTGAAATATAGTCGATATAATACTAACTACTTAAAATTTGAGTGCAGACGGTGCAGTATAGTCTCAAAACTACCTGGAGATCCTCGCCCACCACTTCACAGCCCTCATGGAGGAGATAGACCTCAGGCAGGCCGGCATAACAGCTATTGCATATGAGCTCAATCAGACATCCGAAGTGTTTACCTGAGCCACGGCAGAGGAGACGATGACCCACGTGTTTGTACACCAATTTGCCCCTTTTGTGCGCAACCCCGGTTATCTTGTCGTCGGTGGGTCTAAAGATCGCACATCTATTTTGAAAGAAATACAACCCCACCGATAGGCGACTGAAATTGAATCAGAGGCCTTGTGAACAGCCAGAGGGAATCGTTCATTTTCCACCCGCTCTCGCGATGGTCGACCCCAGGAGACCACGTAGAAGGTTTGATACATGGAACCCGGAAACTAAGGGGAAAAAATTAGCGATACGAGAGTAGAGGAGGGTCCATCATAGTCCTACACAGTTTCGGGCAGCGTTGGAGTAAAAGGCACGAGCGAAATCAGCGTAAGCGGTTGAAGTAGCAAGGAGAATGAGACCGGAGTAAGCGGCGGGCAGCGGTTCGACAATGAAGAGCTCCGACGGTGGTGTCCACGCCTCAGAGAAGCTGCGCAGCGCCTTCCCCACTACCAGCGCCGAGAGTGGTTTGTCGCTGTCGGCGCCGGGCACCGAAAGTGCAGCGAACGCCTCCGTCCCCTCCTCCGCTAATACAGATCGAAGGTGTGGTAAACACTCACGAAGACTCAGTGGAGCAGTTCGCGACTCTGTGGCACCCTATAAAATTAGGTATGACGAAGATATAAATAAACTAATTGCAAAGTATCATGCTACAACATTCGCGACCGTTGAATTTTTTTCGGAGGTAGAGATAGTTATGAGCAGCAACAGTGAAGTTCCGACTGTTTTTGTGGTTTTCCAAAGTTGATTTCGCCCCTATCGCTCCTTCTTTAGTAGCGGATATTTGATTCACCTGAAAAAAAATATCATCGTACACCACAACTACCTTTCAAATGAATAAGGGGCCAAGAATGCTCGATGTTAAGCGTCTTTTGCAGATATTCACTAAATTTGCCTTGGTAAAGGAAAGATGGATGCACAACAAACTTTAACAGAATATTTTACAAGAAAAAGAACAGAAACTGATAAATACAACTAACTCCTGAATTTAATAACTGGGTGTCCGTGGAATTAATTCAAGAAAAAGCGGTTAATTTGCCTTTGTGTAAGAAGAGAGAAATGAAGGTGATATCTAATCTGTGCGTCCTCAAAGCCAAATAAAAAGACTAAACGGAGGACAATTATTTGCTGATGTTTTAATTAAAAGGTATAAAACCTAAATTAATACTTAAAGTTATATCCTTGGCACTCTCAAGACGTACCCCTCATGGTAACCTCCAAAACTGAAATAACACTAATTCTTCAAAAGCAGTTTTTATAGCATTCCTTACGACTAATGTTTCAGGTAATTGCACCAAAGTACCCTCAGACACCATTCCAACATTTGATGCAAGACACTAATGAAAATGTCATTCACAAAGTGGCGAGAAAATGAATGTTTACCACTAATGATCGAGAGTCAAAGGTTAACAACTGGAACAAATCTGCATACGATTACCCGGAAATCTAACGACGCTTGGATGTGTAAGTAGCTGTATATACAATGAGGGCATGCAAGTGGAGATTTGAGCAGCTGTATGTCCATGGGGAGAGATAAGAGGATATATAATTACGAAGATAGATTGTTCAGACAAGTATGAAAAATCTGACCTAGTATTCAATCAAGCAATACAGTTTGATAAAAAGGGGTTCAAAAGCGCATAAAAAAGGGCCAAGCATAAGGATGGATGGGTTTCCGGGCAGGCAAGAGACAGTGAAAATAAGTAGACAAGTAGGCATGTATGCAGATACATAAGAAGCTATTCAAGCAATCGAAATGGCGAAAAATGGACAGACACAAATGGACCCCATAATGAGAATAGAAAAATAGAAAAGGGAGGTAAGTGCCGGGCAAATAGGAAAGTGAAGATCAAAAACCTGAGTGAATTAAAAAAGTGAAATTAATGGGTAGAAAAGCTACCAAGTACACAAGAGCCAGAAAAAAGGTTGGTAAGCCAACAAATAGGGAAATTGATAGGACGCTCGATAAATGGCTACAACCGCCAAATCCAATAGATAATAAGGGGTAATATATGTCGGAGAAGTAACGGATCAGCAGATAAGTGGATATGAAAGTGAGGTCCCGTAGGTAGGAATTCAGACTTTAATAAAGGAATAGGCAGCTAAGCTGATAGACGAACGGCCAGTTAGGTATATTTAGTTCGAAATGATGGCGATATACGATTGAGAGGAATATAGTTATTGGATTTTGGTAAAGGAGGCAAGAAAGAAGCACACACCGTGAAGTGGGATGAGGCAGAAAGAGCATGGCCCCACACGGATAAATTGGACGGTTTATCGATGAGGAGAAAGTGTCGACTAAAGGCGACCACGCGGGCAGCAATGAAGCGCGCAAGAGCCAGGGGATCCTGCGCTAGCTTGCCGCTGCGCACTCCCGCAGTGTACTCATCGGTGATGCTTGCCATCTTCGTCTCTGGTACTGCCTCGCGCACTGCCGTTGCCGCCCTTTCTTCGGTCGACAAGCGAGCCGCTAAAACGGTTCTACCCGTCACCAAGCCGATCTGGGATAACAAAGGTTCACCCACAGTGACCCGCAAGGCGTCCATTTGAACACATAAGTCTTAGTTTCAATGATCACGAGAACTGTCAATAAAGCATGAGTAGCGGCTATTTTAAAAAAGAAAATGCCTATGAAGTCATACTTCTGTGATGGGACAAATGAGCGACCGCATCGATGACTATGCCGAGCTTTTCAACTGACCGATTAGAGAACCTATACTGGTCGTAGATTCCCTAAAATCAAGTCAGCATTAAGTGGACATTATAGCAACGAGAGACAAAATCACACCATTCAAAATGCCACACACCTACCAAAAACACTTTAAATGCTACTGAAATGGTTAATATAAAAGACAATATCTCACAAAAGTCGCCCATATTACCAATTTTGCCGAATTAAATAAAAGAAAAAAATCGTTGAACTTTCCCATGAACCTAGAGTTAGGAATACTCTATTAAAACAGAATGCAGCCAGAGATTTTACTGATATGCAGGAAAAGGCTCGCATTATTAAGCACAATCCCAACAAGAACTGCAAACCGACCACTGCAACCCCGAAACATGGAGAGGCTGTGCGGACTCATAACCATGCCACTTGATCGAAAGGTATAAACAAACAGTCTAGGCGATACAATATTCGGTTTGCATTAGATGGGTAAAGTGGTTTTTAAGTGGTTTCATTGCAGTGAATTCTTTCAAGTAATTAAACATGACAAAATTTAAACTAACATATGATTAGTTATTTTAAGATCTCTTTAAGATTCCCAATGGTGCTCCTGAAGTCACGTTCACTCTTGCACTCAAAAATTCTGCCTTTCCAACAAGTTTTGGCTTCGCTTTAAGGATTAGCAATCTGTAACATTTGCATAGTTTCCTGCCATCAAACGGTACTTAAGAACTGTTTTTCATTAAAACCTTCTGCGTGAATTCATTGAATTCTGTACTTCATTCCATTTACCCTTTTTGAGTATATAATCAGTAAGAAGGGTAACGGACTACACGGTTTAGTTCAACTACAGATCTTTTTATCTACAGGTAACCAACAGCAAAGCCTGTTCCAGATTAGGTTCTTTGTGGGGCGCAGTGCCTGTGTAGCTCTCTGTAACTTTCCTTATGTCGTGGCAAACCAAAATGGAACGAAGGAAAATATGGGTCTAACATACAGTAGAGCTGAGAATCTATTGGCTTCGGCAGAAGAATTGCCGCAGAACAGAACTGCAACCCACGGAGACCGTAACATCTGCGTATTTCAGCGCGCATTTCAGCAATGAATCAAATAGGTCCACATGTAGATATTTTAATTGAAAATTCTAGTGACTGTTTACCAGAATACACTCGTTATAAGGCCTCTTTGCGTGTATGTATCAATACCCCTCAGTAATATCACTTGTGCCTTTGAATAAAAAAACCATGGCGTAAACGATCCGAAATTAAGCTAGATAACTTTCGACTAAAGTGTGGTTGATTCACAATGCAGGTGACACCGTTTCCGTTATTCAATCAAAACTACGTTAGAAGTACATTGGTTTACAATTTCATATGTCAGCATTCATTTTCGCTTATTATGATTACATTTCAGAGGAGGAAAGTTTAATACGAAACCAATGTGATTAGCAGATAAATTACTTATGTATAGTTATATTTTAGACCCTAAGTGACTATCAGATCGAATGCATTTAAGGGATGTACCTTTGATGAACACCATAGTGTTTTCTGCGTCGCTGTTTCACAGATCTATCTTTATCAAAAGCAAAAGGATTGTATATTATTTGACCTGTTCTGGATAGTGATACACCCATGATCGATATGGTTTCAGGATTTCTCACCTAGTATTGGCTAAGTATGGAAAATTCGTAAGCTTTTGTGATGAAAATGGGCCACTAACGGTAAAGTATTTCCAATTTTTTTATTTACGGAGTAAATTCTTTTTTAAAGACTAAGTTCATAAGTTTTAGGCGTAATTGCTTTTTGAGTGTCACTATTTGAGCAGCATTTCGTCAAACTCATCTTTGATCTGTTAATTTCCACTAGTGATTTTGGCCTCCTTCTTAGGGAGACAATCACTGAGACGCTGGAGACGCCAACCCACGGAGGTCATGCAATCCATCGGTCCGAAAGTGGACGAAAGTTCAGGTCGGAATCACTACTACGAATTTATTACCCATGAGAATCCGGCTTTAAAAATTCATTTGTTAAGAAATAAACGGGGCATGTAAGGAATAAAGAATTTGCCTAGGGAACTTTGCGAATTTTTTATGTTCAAATCAGAATTAGCTATACACGAGGCTAATATTGCGTACTAACAAATACTAAATCCACTTACGGGAGGAATTTCAATTCTCATTAAGGTGTAACCCACCAAAACTGAAATTCCCAATGTTTTAATTGGGATATTCCGGTATTTTTGCAGACTTAATTGACCTGAAATGGTAAGTTGATGTGTATCATCAAAGCAATTGATTAGCTTTTTAGGAAAAAACTTTAATGTGGAGATTAAGAAGATGTGTAGGGGAAAATCCCTGTTTTAATCGCTCATAACATCGTAAATCATATAGTTCTTACACAAATTCGAATTCTGAAACGTCTAGACATAAAAGAATGGGAAGAGTTTGCTTACGGCAGTGCAGCATGATCAGAGCCACACGTAGCCGGTATAAGGGTCTTTATTTAAACGACTGACCGTTCCATAATATTAGGTATTGGTAACATAGCTCCTCAACCACAGCTTCCAGCGCCACTTCAACGCCTGCACACCCGTCACCGGTTGGACCAATGATAGGCCGGCCCGTGGCTATTTATACTGACAGCATGTAGAGTGAAGGTATCGTACCTCACACCGAAATGCAAGCTCTCGTACTCACCCTCGGTCTCCTCGTTGCACAGCTCGCCACCACCACCGCGATGGCGATGGCAGTTCCTCCAGCTCTCCATCCCTCCGTCTCCGTCGAAGACCCAAATGCCGCACTTCCGATGATGGAGCCACTGGAAGCCATGGTAAGAGACGAGTATCGACAATCCATTCGTCTCCCCCTTACCCCTTTCTGTTGTCTTAATGACCGTTGGGCATGGTGAAAATACAGAAGGGCAACTTAGAGTGTAGGAGTAGTCCTATTTTTATCTAGTTAGAGTGAGTTCCAAATCAATATCGCCTAATATTTTTTCCAGAAAAGCTCTATTAGGTGGGTTTGTTTGCATTGTGGGTTTTCGTATCTTGATATGAAGATTATTAAAGGCAAGGCATCTCAATAAACACTTTCCGTGGACATCGAACCAGGTGAGACGCAGTTATTTACTTCTTTCCATCCAATATCATACCCCTTAGGCCTCGGGGACACGCATATTGGGGATTCGCTGGTCATGTTGAAGTACTGGTCAGTAAGAAGCAAATTTCGCTTCCCTTTGATCCAATCTTCCTATTTTTATCTACTGCATAATACTTTTGATCACCAAGCTTTAAAACAGTAAGATTAAACTATTTTATTATTACCTTGGTCAATAAACAATTCAACATCTAAAAGATTCTTCTGCGTTGGCCAATGGTTTTCCAGATTATATTTCTGACTTCATATTCTATAACTGAAGGTCTTAATCACTTTACGGAGCAAATTGAATGCAGCTTTAAGCCATCAGTATGATCATCAATTGTGGACACCAAATGGTATGGAAGGAAAGTTTCTGATGTGTCTATATGATTCTTAAGACTCCTAGATGCTACTCATGTAAGCTAGTAGCTTGTTTGATACTAGGAGGCAGTAACACAATTTAACGTGCGAGGTGCCTCTCCCTACTTTTTGCTTCATGGTTTTCTCAAAGCCATTTTTTCCATTTTTAAAACCTTGATAAAATACCAGCGGTAGGAATCAAAAACGCCCTATTTTTTATTCACCGTCTTTAAGGGGGACAAACATTGAGAAGAACTTCCGCAGTTGCAATTCATTCTTTCATTTCCTTTGCGTTCAAATGCACTGATTATTTTTCTCAACAACATAATTAGAAAGTGAAAGACGTCTTTTTTCTCTAATTTTCTTGCCTATCCTAGTGTCATTTTTCTTAGGATCATTATTTTACAAGCATTTCTAAATTTTGATTCCACTTTTGCAATCAGTAATCCCTGGGTACCAACTCAGCTAATAATTGCTTCACAGATCAGAATGTCAATTATTATCTCTTAATAACAAAACAAGGAAAACAGTTTTGCTCATTTAACAAGATGAGAGCTAAATTTTGGGGACATTGCAGTAATTAATGCAATTCCCAAAGCATCCAATGTGGTGGGCTTCTCCCCTTGCATTCTATTCCACCCGTCTATACCAAAATCGTCATTTACTTCCATATTTTTTTTATGTTAATTAACTTCTTGTCCCATATGTATTCATCCATTCATAATCGTCAAATACATTTCTTTTCAGTGCATTGCAAACTTCGATAGCACACAAATTAGCGGTCTTCAGGTTGCTGAGTCAAGTCCCTAACACCTTCTTCATTCATTCATACACTAGTTTTGCCGTAGCAGGGTTCTGCTTTTCATTTTTTTGGAGCCGGTTCAAATTAATAGTAGAAATTGAAAAGTTGTCGTTACAGAGAAAAGAAATTTACAAGTGTAACAAGTTCAATGACCCAAGTCACTGATCCTTTTTCAGCAGTTGAGGTAGACACAAGCAGAGAATAGGGGCGAGGAGCTTTTAGCTTTATATACAAAATGGCAGCATACTAGATGTTAAGGAGAAACAAGGAACACGAGCTGGCGTGTTGAAGATATGGCTTTAGATGGCTTAACATTGCACATGGATATGATCCTCCCAAGTCTTGCAGTAAGTTGTCCTACTTCGGTTGGTACGGGTCGAATACGCATATCGAAGTTGTTTTGTTTTTCTGCTAGGACCCATAAACCTTTTTAGTCGGTCTAACTAGGTTTTATATGGCTTATGATTAAATTTACTGACTACTTTTCGGTATTTAACTTTAATGTTCGGCTAGTCCACAAAAATTAGTGCTTATTTAATGTGGAGGGGAAACAAATTTTCGGCACATTCCCACTAAACTTGGTATTTTTGAACGTCCGCTACATCAAAGAGTGGGTAGCTGAACAAGCACGATTGCGAGGCAGCACATAAAAGACATACTTTGTTCTCATCCCATCCCCCGTGTTCCTACCTTTTTCAGTGCTTGTGGAATCCGGTTGTACCCGCGTTTTCGTAACTGACTGATTTGATATAAAAGGATACTCAATGGTGTTATCTGCATAAATGTGGTTGAACTTAAAACACCATTTACAGAGACCCGCTTCCCTGTGGGTTAAATCACAATAATGGCGGCCGATATGATCCTTCTACAAATGAAAAGCCAATTTAGAACATGAGGCATAACCTATTTTTTTACTCAAAGTGGTAATCTGGGGAATATTTTATTCTCCTGTTACCTCCAATGTGCAAAATGAGCGTTTCTCATGAGTGACCCCAAACATTCTGGGGAAATTAGGAGGGTAGAAGAAGGTATCCTCGAGCCAGATGCAAAACCGATTTTCGGTGTATCGAAGACCTCTCCTTTGCTGTGAAGAAGACCCTCCGACTAGCAATGATGTCAATCAAAACCGTTTTAAGTTGGTCCAAATTAAAGCAGGCACAGAACCTATTTACCATCAAGGGGTTTTCGGTCCCCAAATTTAAACAATTAAGGTGAAATTTGCAAGGGTTGCGCTTTAATTCGACTTACTTCAGGGATGATTTGAACACATTTTTATAACATGTGGAAACGTTAACACCACTTTACAACCAATATAATTACCACTTGAGGATCTTTTATACGCTGAAAGAAGACAAAGTAACTTTCTCACTAAAAATGCAATTTACCGCTGTTACTTCAAGCGAATCAAGTAGGTCGGTAGCCTTCATTTCCCTTTAAAGCATTTAAATATGAAGACTTCTAAATCCTGTACCAACAACTTCACCAAATTATTTGAGGCAAGTAAATCACTATTGTACTTCTGTGGAGCCCCAATCTTCCATGGCATTTTAATGCACCATATCCGGAGGGAGAAAGATTTGTCAGTAGCGTACAAAAGGGGCGGAAGGCCGTTGGCCCGGTTTTCCGGTTGTGTCATGGGAAGTGCAACTTGGGGAGACTGTAAAGAGCTCGCCCACATACAGTTAAACAGGACTCCAAATCACTCAGGTAGTTTCCTGCTTTGAATTGGGCACACAAAAACGTACAACCTTACCATTCCTACTTAAGTTTAACGCATGGTACGTTCATATTTTTTGGAAGTAGTTTCTTTGGAAAATGTTCTCTAAAATTATCACATTACATGGATGATGTATCCAATATTTAAAGCAACAAATTAGATCTTAGTTACGAATTCAACAATTATCACTCAACTTCAACCTGTTTCCCCAAATGTGTGCCTGCTTATAAATTTTAAATGAACCTATCTATTTTAAGGCTGTATATTAAATAATTAGTTTTCATATTAGAATTCATAAAATGTTTCATCGATAGAATCCCGAACGAGATTCTAATTCCAACACAGGAAAATACTCAAAATGAATTGTTTAAACTACTCAAAAGATTTTACATTTAAAAGTGGGAGGTATGGAATTTTATAAAGCTCAAGGGGGAATTAATAAGGCTTATCTTCTTAAGAGTTAGGCGATATTCTCAATATAGGGTGGCTTAAGAACCTGTAGCAAGATTCAGCGCAAACCCATTTCCCTGATGTCTGATTCCTCGGAAATCGACAAATTTTTGGAAGACCCTGACAAGTGGCCCAACCAGTGCTTGACTGATATTTAAATGATTTCATTACCCAAGAGCACAGGAAATAAAAGATTTTCGACCGCTCTAACGAGCTGAAGTATTTTAAAATCTTGACCTAAGACGGGATTGTGTTGTGGACTGCATTTCGCCCTCCCAGGACACGGAGTTATACTACCTTCGACAGCTGCAGGACATGCGGAATAGGATGAACGCTCACCGAACATCGAAGCGCTTCTTTTGCAACCCCTACGGCTGCATCTAGGCGAGGGGACGGGACTTCGGCCACAACAGCTGCTCCTCTTCTGTCTGCAATCTATTGACTTCTATTTTGTTTTTGGAAGGGAAGCATTATTCAAAATAAATGACATTTGAGAAATACTAACAACGGGCATCTTTGGGGATGATGAGTTGTGCTAAAAAAGAGCAACTCAACTGTAAATAATCGGGACTAGTATTGTGCAATAAACTCGCCCAAGTTGAAATTCCTCAGAGCTTGGTTTAAGGGCAAAAAGTTAACGTCTGGTATGACCTGCCTGTGAAGAAGTTAAGAATGGCAATGGACCAAAAAAGAGATGGCCTCGGCTTCACAGCGTTATAGGTAATCTTTATGGAAGGTACACCAAGGGATAAGAAATGAAAGGCAAAGTTCCCACTTCATTTGAATTTGCGAAGCATGATTAAAATGAAGATTGTGTTTTTCGAGTTATAGTTTTAGAAAGAAACGACGGCACCACTCTGTTTGGAGCATCAAGTTGTCCTCTAAAAGATGCTGTTTTTCAGGTACACAGTTGGGTAAACTATTGTTACGTAATTTTACATTAGTGGGAACCTAATTACCCACGCATTTTGATCAAAATTATGTGTGTCGAGCCATTGAAAGCTGTTCTTGCTTTCGTGACCGTCATTTCAACATCACTTTTACCTCCCTACTGCTTATCCTATTTCGTAGGTTACTACCCAAGTATGAGAAGAATGCGGAAGATGGGGTGAGGTGGTGTCTCCCTCCCACCTTAACCAAACTTCAAACTACATTGGTAAGTGTTGGAGTACGAGACCTTGGGACGTCATGCTAAAATAAGGGTATGACTTTCTTCCAATTGAGTGAGCAGTCCCGGTTGCTTTCAAAAGCGAATTTGGATTCCATCGAGTGGGTGAATTTCAGCTGCACTTGTTGCTTGGTATTTGGCAAGTGAAAACACACAAAGCGTAGTCTTGTGCAGATGGAGTGGTGCAGTTGTGGAATTCGTTCCAGGATAACCAATGATGCGTCCGGTTCCTTGACTTTGGGATATAAAAACACAAAAGCCATTCTTCACAATGACTCAATCAGGCAGCAAGTGGTTTAAAATGAGGAAAGCTTTCGTACGACAAATGAAAGAAGTGGAAAAAAACCTACCGAGCTTCTTATCGCCTTTTGATGCACGGCGTGTTAATGGACCCACCTATTTACCCCCTACGACCGTGCCCTCTCAGTTAGGCTAGGCATTAGCCATTTGGTCCATCACTCACGCCAGCAGGTCAATAGCAAAGACGGATTGCACAGGATCTAAAAAACACAATAGCTCACCTTCATTGCACCTCGAAGATTTAATTTTAATCGAAAACGCCCCCCCCCCCCAACTCCCCACTCTTTGCAGTGAGAAGTTCACGCCCATGACGTCAAAAATTATCCAGTGATACATTTGGTTCTACTGTTTGAGGCACAAATCAAACCAGAAATAAGTCAGCGATAAGTAGTGAATCAAATCGGATGTGAAAGAGAAAAAAGGATAAATATTGCGCAGAAATCCACGTCTCTAGATGGACTTTGGGCTAAGATGGCGGATCACATCGATGACAGGGAGGACAAAAGTGCCGTATTTAGGAAACACAGCAAGCTTCCTTGTTGACATCACTCAAGTTGATGGTTCCATGAAGGAGAAGGGCTATGGAAGCCTTAGCGAGGAAGGAAGTGGTACCCAAACGAATGTTGGCAGGTGTGGAAGCGAAACGGGTGTAGGCCTCCCAGTTGTCTGTCACCACTTCGTCCTCCGGCCAAGAGAGACGCCGTTTCGAATGTCGGGTAGGCGTTGCCAGTCTATTCTCATGACAATTCTCATTACTAAAATGGAAAGGGACAGACAATCGGGTCAGATATCTTTACTTTGCCGAGACAAAAGGTGGCCTTCAAGGAACAAATACAGCTATTAACAATCATAAAAATAATCATACCATATCTGCCTTACAAATTAGTCATTAAAATACTCATGCCAACTACAAATAAGGTTAGTTAAAATCCATATATTTTAGATCTGATGGGAATTATAGTATACATTTTACGAAAAATGAGTACATTTGCGATCATGAAAAGGTTTGATGGATGGGCGAATGGAAGACCGTGCGTCCCGCAGACGTGATAACCAAACTCATGCAAACTTTGAGGAATGGTAAAAATATAAAAAAATATATAATGGATATTTGAAGCATTGCAATTTATCTGCCATAGAAAGCGAATCAAACAATCGGGAAGTGCACCAAACAAAAAAGACAGGCAAAAATGGTAAGTTCGATTCTCCAAGTTGGAGTGGCGCAAATACAACGCATCGAAGTTTTGGACTCTGAGATTATGAAATAATTATTGCAAAAGCAACAGTCATTCCGCAAAATCCAGTGCACGCTTATATCCCCAGGTGCAAATTCAGATCGTTTGAATTAAGATGGGATTTACCGAAGCCTTCAATTCCTAAACTTAGTAACAATTCACCTATAGATGTTGTGAAGTCTTTTGAAGTGCAGTGACAAAAATAAGTGAGTGATTAATCTTTATGATTTGCTCAAACTCCCATCACAGACTCGATACCCAACTTCTTAAACAGAATCGAGAGCCGATGATAAAACCTAGAGAACATAGGAAATTTTAAAGGGTTTCTGCCAACAACATATATGCTTAAAACAGGTAATTAAGAAGCTTGCACAGAGAAAGGCAACAGGCATGAAAAAGAAACAGCGGTTTCAAAGGCTACCACGGATGTAATTCACTGAAATTCCGAGTTTCTGAACCCGGTAATAAGTTGCCGCAAAACTTTTGGCATAAGCATTGCTTAAGTGGAAGAAGGGGAGAGGATTGGAGAGACGCGAATCTAAGGGAGAGGCGTAAGACTCACAAGCTGATATGATTGATGATGGCAAAGTCCTTGATGGCGTTTTGAATGACTAAACGGAAATCGACCACTTCGGTGAAGGAGAGCTCCTGATTGCGCTCCAGAATGACTGCGATCACCATTACTGTTTCGACGAAGAGCGCGCGGTACGCGGGATCCTTGATGTCGCTCAGCATGCGCTCCACCTCGACCACCAAGTTCAGATCGTGTGGTGTCATGTCCGTGAGTGTGGGGTTCTGCCAACAGGGTGTATAAAAAATAGTCAGCGGTTGCAAGTTAAAAAAATTGCAGCAGCAAGTGAATTCAGCAGCAGGGCTTGCTAACACTGTCAGTTCAAGAAAAGTGGTTAATTCGAAGGTAAACAGGTGGCTACACGGGAAATCAACTAAGTATTCAATGACTCCTGATTTTACAATTTGATATAAAGCTAGAGGCGTCCAACAAAAAAATTTACATTATTTTTCGACGAGTTTTGCCGTATGGTCAATGGGCTATAGACATCTCGAGACATCGTCTACCGATGGTCTAAAAGCTACCAATTTACTCCACAATGTTAGTCGAACAATGACAAGACAAATAAACAGGCCTCGACTAACGCTACAATTCCAACAATTTTAACTCGTTTGGAGGGTTTTAGAGAGATTTGATTTTATTAGTTGTCTGGCTGAAACTCGCAAACAAAACCAATGAAGGCATTAAGGCAAAAAGGCGACAGCACTGATTTAAGTTTATCAACGGTGCAAGAAGATAACGATAGCTCCATTTGTCGCAGTGAGAATACGATCCCACACAAACGCAAAGTGATAAATGCCTCGTCAGAACATGAAAATGAATAATGAAACCTGCTTATTTCTACGGTTTAAGGTAAGGAATTGAATAAAACCATCTTTCAAGATTGACTATCAACCCCAAGAATTTGGCTAGAAAATTATCACAGGTCTGGATGCTGCAACAGAGATACAAGTAAAACAATAGATGCTAGTTTACTACCAAGCAATGTTCCCCCGACAACTAAACCCACCATTCTGGAAGAGATAAACAGTGAATAGACCTTTGAGCCCTGTTTTAGATGGCTCAAAAAGCTCATATGGATTCCGGTATAACTCAACACAAGGACTTATCACAACTTAGGGGAACTTGCGGCATGCAACGGTCCATCGGTTCAATCCCGTTTAATGTGCCCTCTACCGTTTTACTTTATTTTAAACCCTTATAACAAAAAGTGCCAGCAGAATCCGAAGTATGCAAATTGAGTTTGTCTACTTCACGAACTGAATCCAACCCCATCACACAACTGTGGCTGCAAATGCTTCTCCTAACGTCTACCATGTAGCATTTGAAGAAGGTGTGAGATGCGGTAGGAGAAAGTATTCCCAGGCAAAAATGGCCTAAAAGTATAATCAGATAATGAAGCGTCACGTTCAGAAATACCATACAGTCATCATAACAAAGATTTGCATTCCGCTACTGACACGTTAAAATAATCTGAAGTTAAAGTATCAATAAAAAACTTTCATTAATGCTTTACGTGAGTAATAAAACGATCGGTTTACGCCTACACCAATTAGAAAGGGAAAGCGGGGGAAGCATATACTAAAAGATGATACTAAAATGTCCAAACTATCAGTTTATCCTTTGATTCCTTTACATATAAAGATATGAATCATAGCTCGCTTGCCCCCTAACTTATGACAGAGCAAATGGGTTTTCATGTTGCTGTATTCAGCAAACATGTCATTAATTATACTAAAACAGTCCAATACCCACTAAACACGCTACATGTCTAAGCAACGTACTGCTTTAGTCCCACAAAACTACGCCCCCCTTGTGTATGTGGTGAACTACGGACTCAACTGTACCCTCACTGAAGGCGAGACAGTTACAGTCAACGTCTATCTGCCCTACAAATCTTCGGTATCGGCATCCCAAAGATATTCAAGAAAAAGCCTCACCTTTTTGCAAAACAGCCAAGACTAGCTAGTTAGAAGAAAGTTCCGTCTCACGCCCTACATCGCATACTGCAAAATTTACTCGTGAAAGGAATTTCAACCTCATTTTAGGATGGGAGGGAGAGGAAGTGAGAGGATGACTCCTTTTATCCTCATTTCCATTCTCCGTATACACCCGATGGTATTCCTCCAAATGATGACTATCGTCCCCTCCTCACACTAGAATCAGACACTTCCAAAATGGGATAAACAGTTGGGAAATAAAAATGAGATGGAATCGGAAGTAACCAGAACCAGGATGACGGCTTCTACAGACTAAACATTCCATAAAAATGAACTTTATGCTTAGCCTGTCGTGTTTGGAAAGGGGTATGAATTGTAATTGTGATTATGTAACCTGGCAACTTATTTTAAGAAGCTTTCTACAGCTAATTACCTTTTATTCTAAAAAAACATACCGGGTCAGATGTCTACCTTATTCGTCACCCGGATATGAATAAAACGAACACATGGAGTCGAAAATGCACAAAGATGTTTGCCCATGAATGAAAAAAGGATGTAAGCGACCACCATTGCTTCCTCCCCCCATCCACCATACTCCTTTTCCTGGCATGGCCTCTCCCCCCCCCCATCCTCTGCCTGTTCCCGCCTCAGCCGCTTTTTTAATTATTTCCGGACACGCCCTTTTCCGGCGAACGGAAAAGAGATTTTGGAAAACAGAGTTTACGTCTGCTGAACCAGAAACAAAATGATAATAATAAGTGCAAGTAATTTAGTAATTATTTGATATGATGAAAGTAGAATGTTGATTTGATTCTGACAGTGCTGTACTTATGACTAAGCGGACTGATACGGGAGGTTACTTTATTTTAATAAAAAAAATGACTAATCTGGTGGAAGGGATTAGTTTTGGTTTTAGCTAGAGACAATGGGAATTATTAAATAACTATGGGAGATGAGCCTCGAAGGAGATTTGTGAAATCACCACAGTAAATGTTCGTCAGGTACAACAACAACGAAGACATCAAACTACGAGGAGTAATTTAGAATTTTATTTAATAGAGGAGAATTGTTAATTAATAATGCCTGATCGAAGAGCTGAATGTACTTGGAAGATAGAGATAGCATTTTAAAAGGCACACCAGTCGGGTGCGCTGGGTTGTAATTTCGACACGAACGGATACTAGGCCGAGTACCATTTAGAGAATTATGAAAGTGTGACCTGGGTAACAAGGATCGGAAAAATATCGCAAAGTGCGCTTCTATTGAATGCAACAAAAACGGTGAGAATAAATAGAGCTGAAGAAGGAAAGATTTACTTAATACTACACGATCGAGCTACCACAGAGTGACAGCGACTTCAGAAAATAAGACATCGTTACTAAAAGTAGTTTAGTCAGATGATTCGACCACAGTTTTGATGCAGTAAATTAGAAAATCCGAGCATGTTATACTTTTAGCTACATTCCATTGACTTGCATTCGTTCGTGATCTTGGGGGAAAAGAGGTGCCACCAAAATAGAGAAAGAGTAACTTTAGCACAGAAGTCTTTTAACAGATTTTTGAAGACAATCCCTTTTGGTCTCTTACAAAATTTGACACAAAATGCTCAGCAGACAAACTCTACAAGACATTTTCGCCCATCAAGTTGCATGAAGTTTCTGTCCGTTATTCACCAAATTTTAGTTCATTGTAAAAGTATGGGTGAGTGACTCAAATTTGGTGTAATTTATGAACAATTTGCAAAGTGATGGGATGATTACATCACAAACGGGTTGAAACAGACAAGTTGGCTAAGGAAGAGCACGGAGTACATCAAATCTTCGTGAAAGACCCGGTACTTCTGACATGTTTAATATCAAAAATGAGTTTATTAAGCAGGAGACCAGAGCGGATGATAGCGAGTCAAAAAGTGGGGGTGATTACCTCCCGCTATTGTTGGTAGCGCAACAAAAAAGGCTCCTCGAAACAAATCACACGAATTAAAATAAGAGAGGCTAGAAAAAAGTCAAGCATCACAAGAGTCTCCTTTTATCCCGAAATTACGAAAGTCATTCGATTATCATCTCATGCTTTCGATCCAATTTAGATGGTAAAACTTCGCTTCGAAGAAATTAGGGGCGCACAGTGCTTGATTAACCACAGCAATGGATCACCCAGCTTAAAGTAGATCAAATCGAATATTCGGCATTAAAATACTTCATGATTGATCATTCTTTCCATCTTGCCTATGCTGCAAGTGGCCAATTCTTCCGTCCCTTGATTTATGACACTTTCAACGCTTCAGAAGTGCAGCAAATTACAAAAGGGGAATGCTAACCTGAGGCAGTAGGTTGGACGCTATGAGAACACCACAAGGTGCCCTTTCAAGAATGTGGTAGACCGATTCGTAGAAGGTGTTTGGTACACGTCCAAGACATCCATCTAACTGGCGTTGAAAAAGTACATCCTGGGGAGACTTCTCATCCGATGGCGCTGGCGACTCTAAAACAATCCATTTTATTGTTTAGAACTCCTCAGTACCATGCAAGGTTACAGTAGTGGTTACAAAGTAAATTTAAAAGGAACCGGAAATTTGGGTTCACAGAAGAAAAGAAAGCAAACTTTAAGGAGTGTCAAAAGCATTCACTGTCCCAAGCAGCCATTGGTTACATTCATACACCTATACTAGAGTTTAAGTGGTACCTAAAAAGCTTTGATGTAAGAATATTTGCCTGTACGATTAAACCATTCTAAAACACCCTCCTTTGCTTCGTCATCGGTGCTACCTTGGTGGTGGTCACGCTGACAAAGTTGATGGACGCCAACTTTTTAAAATGAAAAATGTTCTTACGTAGTTCTGGTGTGTTTACCGCCCCCACAGAAAGAACCGGCTCTTGTCCACTCTAAATTATAATGAGGCAAATGGAGTTTCACGTTGCTATATTCAGCAACAATCCACTATCAAATACGCACCCCACACTTCTAAGATGCGCGCCACTTTAATCCTGCAACCTAGCAAATTATTTTAAGATTTCCATATTTTCAATTTTGTTATTAAAAACACAAGTTTATTTGCCCACCTTAAAGTAACTAATGCCGAATCAAAACAAGCAGAAGTCCGACGACATCATAGTCGTCAAGTACCATGGTACCTAACTTACTGAATTCCATAACAAGAAAATACAAAGAAATTGGTTCAAGGTGCTATTTAATAGCCACTAACATAAAACTTATCGACGAAAAATGTTCCATTTTAAAAATTCCTTTCGCGAGACAACACATTACTAAAAACTTAACGGTGTCGAGTAGTTTTAGGATGAAAGACAAAAGAGACTGTCTGAATTAATGTCGAATCAAACGTGTCCGCTTGGGAGAAATCCCTAAGCCGTGTGTTGCCACTAAATTTAACTTGTCGAGTTAAAAAAGAAACATTACGTGAGCTAAAATATGAAGTGTTACTATGATAACGGGTCAAATTTGCCATCCATTATAAGGAACAGTTTATCCAGAGCTTACACAGCTCACCGCATTGTATACTAATCACAGTGACCCCTTTGGGAGGAGGAAGGTGGGCGCTGCTACATGTCCCTTACAATCTAAACCTCACTCCATGGGAGTTCAAACCAATTCAACTCCCATGAGTACCTGAGAGGATGGCATTTACAAAATGATGAAATAAAGCAGAACATCCTAGGATTTTCTGCAGTTCTGAAAGTCTCCCATGCCAAACTAACTTTACATTCAAATAAACGCTGATAGGCGTGTAAATGAAAAAAGTAAGGAAAGCTTTGATCTCTAGAAATTTGTCCCATTCTTCCTTTATAAGTCTAAGGTCTAAATTTAGCTTTAACAACTCGTAAATTCCCAAAATGATAAGAAACACAAAAAAACCCAAAGAGGTACGAGGATTTCCTCACTGCTGCATACAACTTTCGAGAATTCGAATTTAACAAGTCTGAAGGAATTCCATGACAAAAGTAGAAAGAAGGGACCTGAAGGTACCAACTAAAGGCATGTAAACTTACTTGAACGCAAGAGCGAGCAAGATGACAATAAGAACAAATGAATGGCATAAAAGTGAGTATAGGTGCGTGGGCTCACCTTCACGCAAGTGTGGGCTGTTACGTCGCCATGGGCAGTGGGAGTTGTGGCTATGCTCCATAGAGTCGGAACATAGAGTGCGATATAGGAGACTCTTCAGACTCGAGGGAGAAAGCGAATGTAGGCGGCAGGCGCCAAGACTACGCGCCTCCGTCAACGTTTCAGCGGTGTCCCCAAGGTGCCCCGCCTCTCCGATTCCATTACATTTGCCATTGCAATCGCCATCGCCGCACTTGGTTGCTGACCGTGCCTCTTCCGCTTCGAGTTGCAGCTTCATTGCCTCCAAGAGCCAGCTAAGAAGACAAATGAGGGAGGTGAAGTGCTGCTCTACGGTACAGAGTACCTCGCCAATAGGCAGCACTTTTTAGCTGTACGTTTATCTAGGCGGGTTCTGCGTAGATTTTGGTCATGTGGTACCCTTCAAGTCATTCCCATCAATAGCTCACATAACGTGCGATCAGAATTATTAAATGGGAGAACGTACAGACCCCGTGAGGTATTCCATAATCAATGTTTTCTTAGAAATGCCCGATAAAACAAACTTCCAAAGTAAATTGATGCTAAATCAGCAACACTTTGAGGAGTTTTGTTCTCTCAACCTTATAGTTCAAAAATGGACAACAAGGGCAGGACCTGAGCTTAGACAAAGGTGATGGATAAGGCTGAATTGAAGACGCATCAAACAGAGTTAGGCAGCCAATTCGATAATTGGATAAACGCTGGAAAAGCAATTGTCTCTATGTTCACGTTCTGACAGTGAATACATTGAACAGCTAAATGATGAAAAATGAGGTATCTGATGTCAATTAATGAGTAAAGAATGGAGAGATCCTCCTGAAATAAGGTAACGCTAAGTAAAGCAGATGTCGCTCTTAAAAACAGGGTTATTTAGCCTACAGTCAGGAGTCGGACACTGTACAGGGAGAACAAAGTCGCGTTTTCATGATGACCAAATACACTCCATGATCCCATAGTTTTTCGCCCTTCAGACGAGCAGTAAATAATGGTTAAGTTTAACATATTGATTGCATCGCCTCGAAAATGGGATCTGTACAACCTTCCCAATCAATGCGGCACGAACCTCTATCAGGGCGAAAGACCTCCAGCACCTTGACAATACAATCGACTATCCATTCTTCCATACAGGTAGATACAAAAGGAAGGAAGCAATTAACCTACCATCATAACAAGCCCCTCTGAACATCGATTTCCGTTGTTTTAATATAGGACAAGTATTGCCCGGCCAACACGATTAGCCACCATGAGCCACTACTACCAGCGCCATTCTTTTCAAACAGACTATTCTGAAAAGCAGATATCGGTACGTAGCTATAATGCCAAGTGCTTAAATGAGTGGGTGGGGGTATGAGAGGATAAAAAAGTAAAAGAAGTTAACAGGATTAATTTTAGTAAAGAATGCAATTGGTGGAGGTTTGAGGATTGTGACTATTCACTTCATGGTGTTTCCTGTTCTCGATAAGCCCTCATGGGGAAATTTGCAGCCAATTAGTGGATTCGTTGTAGACCATAATTTACAAAGCCTCATCATGGTGGCAGGTGATAAACCGGACCACTAGCTTTACAAATCTACGTGTAGAAAGAGTGAAAATCTTAAACGAGGCTCATCCTAAGGCATTCAGTGACCAAGCATTTCATATGGAATCCTATCTTCGATAAGCTAAATAAAGGACCGTCATGAATACTCATGTAAGTCCAAAGGACAAGTAGCCTCAACAATGACGGTATGCAAGACTTAAACAAATGCCATTCTACACTGGATATCTCAAAGTAAGACTCCACCCAGTTTTACAGTTCCCGAGAAACGGGTAAGAAGTGGCGACTTTTGAACGACATCAGAAAACTGACCACAGGAGCTCGAACGTACTAGTGGTAGAACCAAACTCGAACAACTTCTACTACTTCAGAAGGTGTATACTTTAGAACGAAGTCCTGATCAATTGAAGGACCCTAAAATTTACGTCAAAAGCATTCAACCTCATGTTAAATTTGATGGGATGTCAACTTAACTTAGAAATCACAAGAAAGTGATTCCTATGAAACAGAACTATTATTAAAAAACCTCCCATTAACTGTCAGCACGTGAAAAAGCGCAAGTTTAGAAGTGAAAAGTAATGTTAGAATGACGGAATGATTTTAACTGAGAAAGTAGGATTCTCATTCAGAGTACCGAAGTCAGCGAATGGCACCGACAACGCGAATCAAAACAAAGACTGGAAGAGCAGGATTTAAGCCAAATCGACCGCTCTTGGCGTGGCGCTTATCACATGAAACAAGAGTGAAGCTGATAAAAGGGAATTGAAGAAAAGTCATGAAGGAAAAGTAAACATGAAAAATCAACGATGTACTAAATAGGGAACTAGTCCTACGACAAGAGCAGTCCCAACAATTCTACCACCTTTATCATTGGCGATGAATAAGATGCCAAGACCTTTGGAACATCTCTGGCAGAAGGCTCTTTCTAATGAACTTGGGAAGAACCAAGAGTTTAAAAAATATAAGCAGTCTGAATGAAGTCATTGTGGTTTTACAGTTCAAACAAAAAGGTTTGAGACAAGCACTGACCACACTAAAAGGATGGAAAGTAATGTACTCAAATTGAACTATGAATCACGGAAATTAGGTAAAATCTTAAATGGAAGCGTCCAAAAAATTCTGGCTAGTTATCTGCAAGATAAGTTTCGGGAAAAAAGAAGTCACAAGAGATCAGGCATAAAATTAGAGAAGGACAAGAAATGGCAAAAGTTTAGTTGACAGTGACCAGTACAATGCATCTTCCTAAATTCAGCAGATGGTCGTACTTATTGCACCGAATGCTGATGTAATAAGGTCTGAAGAATCGAGAATTAGTTGTATAATTAACAATAGGTAAAGCTTGGAGAGGCCTAGTTCATAAAAATTCGAGAAAAAAACAACAGAACAAACAGGAAAAATTAACACCGTTGACAGCACTCAAATGACCAGTCAAACCTAGGTTCAGCCATGGCTAACGACTACAACGTAATTCCAGCAGAGTTGAATTAATCAACTTATTTACAGTGAAGCTCACACAAAAAAATGAAGAACAAAACCGAACAAATGAGGAGTCGGGGAATTTCTGTCGTAAAAATAATAAAATCAATACTTCTAAACCGGTTCGGTTGTGAAGGCATTTAAAAAGGTACTCTTCGAGGCCTTAACTCAAAGGGCACCAAGCTCAACTAGACGTGACCAAAAAACGTTAAAATCATAGAGACAAAATTCACTCCAAACAGTGATAAATGACTCTTGATTCACTGACATTTAGAAAGCAAATGACAATATGGGGAATGAGAGAAATAGAGAGGAAGTTGGACCCACCCTAGTCGAATTATAGCAATGTCCTTAAACAGCGATTTGTCCTTAATGAGTAGGGCGGATACATAGAGAATGAGTTCCTGCTGGAGAGAGACCAGGAGCGGGTTGACAGGAAAGACAGTGTTTTGAAGGAGGTCGCAGAGTTGGCGAGGATTCATAGGCTTGTTAAGGTTGACCTCGGGGCCTTGCACCGTGCCAATAGTCAGCTGCTTGCCGAACACAAGGATGGAAGAAGTCGATGGGGCCAGACTGTGGACGTAGTTGCCCAACAGTGCGGAGGTTAGACGAACCACCGTCCTGGGAAAGGGAGTAAAGTAAGTGATATTAATGATAATGAACATACTGCAAAGCATTTCCATAATAATCGAAAATCCAAAAAAAAACCTGAATTGGTTGATTATACCAAATGTGGCAACGCGATCATCAAGAAAAAGTGGTGCTATAATTAGGTACTAAATGGTCAATTCAAATTTGGAAGTTAAGCTCGATTCAAGCAAAAAAGTGCTGCATCGACTTCTCGGGTGGAATTTGGAGGGAATGCAAAAAATAGAATACTCGAGTGTTTCTTATCCTAGGGATTCCAAAGAAGTAGACCGGTTTAGTTGAATTGGAATTATTACCTATTTGTAAATATATTATGATAGGTTTCCAGCTGGCCGATTTGCGGTCTTATTTCAAACAATATCAAGCAAATAATTGGCAAATTAACTCCACAAGCATGTCTAGACAGAACGGTTACGTCTTCAGGAGAAATGTGAAAGCAGTCAGAGGCAAAATTATGGAGTCGGAATTTCAGTCAATTGTGAAACTTAGAAAAAAGGGATAAGAAATCACAAAATTTTGAGTTAAGCTGTGGTGAGGCTTCTATCAATTTATAAAATTTGAGATATTTTAAAGTAATTTTAAATCGTATCAATGTCATACCTCAAATAAAGTGAAGAGATGTAGCCCCTAATAAAGCTACGAGTAAACAACAAGCTACTACCAATGCCAGTTTTGCCACCATCAAAAACAGTGGTCACTTTTTTATGCGTCCCGACGATGAAGAAACCCAGAGAATCGATAGGGGAGAGAAGACGGAATTGTGGCGGAATGTCAAATTTTCGTTACATTCCAAACAAGGGCGACGCAGCTATCAGTTGGGCAGTATACGCACCAAATACACACTTTAATAGTAGGAATTCCAGATGTAAAAGAAAATGGAATGAAATTGCTGGGGTAAGCAGTTTTCACTCCTTATTAAAGCAAAGTAAACATTTCGAATTCGGTTATAGACGGTAGTAACCGGTTGGAATAGTTTGTCTCACAATTAAATTTGCGTAAATAGGGGGGGGGGGGAGGGGAGGGGAGATCCCACCTTTCACCTGACTTCGTTAACTTGCTGCATTATCTCAAATGATCGAAATTTGGTTTAAATGGTAACGGCTGACTTTTTGTCGGTGGTTTGAGATTCAACTGAGACAGACATATCTGTATCTACGTGGCTTACCCACTTTTCAGAATTGAATTGCTCAATCAACAGACGGTGCGCTCGAATTTTGCTGATGTTTTGAGGCTTCAGCACGATGCAATTCATGCTAAACTACTACAAATTTACAGTAGTCTCATCTACGATACCACTATACTGCTCGAAAAAATTGACATAAAGCTGATGATGAAAACCTGGACGCGCGTAGTCTGGACACATCAAAACAGTAACCAAAATTAAAAAAAAAGAGACTCGATAACCACAAATCGCAACATTCTAAGTACTTTAAGAAATCAGCTCTTTTATGCTCAAAAACTCAGCGGGTCGGAGCAGTATATTGCCGCTTTCTAAATCACAAAGCAACCAAAAAACTCGAAAGGAAGCGAAATAGCTTAATTAAGCTGCTGTTAAGTCAAAGCGTCAGCGTTGCAGGGACAATCGCCCTAAAAATCTGTAAAAACGCATCAAATAAGTAATTCAAATAGGGATTCATAGAACAGACAAAAAACAAGTACAAGGACTCAATGAAACAGGCCACACTCATGAAACTTTTTAAAAAAGTTAACAAGAGACAAAACAAATATACAAGATTGAGGAGGAAACAAACATACACATTTCACTTTCAACTGCATGACAGTGACGACAGGGGTTGTGACAGATGAAACAAAAAGTCCTTCACAACTTTTTCACACACGAAAATAATTAGAATTAAAAAAAATTTTAAGCGAGCAGAAACACCCGTAAAGTAAAAGTTGTCATAAGTTATTGAGTACAAATACTGACATAACTGACAGTTGACTTTTGCACCAATAAAGGAGTGGATTAAAGTAACTCAATTTACGTGACAAGCTTGCCACGATTCAACGAAAACTTATTTCTAACGTAGACCTTTCAAATAAGTATTCAAATATGGGACACAAAATTCACTTTTACAAACATAAAATGGGTAAGTCACGGGTAATTTTTTTACCAAGCCCTGCTAAGATACTTTGTTTATTATTTGCTTGGTTTAATGTGATAATGAACTAATCTTTTCGCAATTCAGAATCTATTTTAGCGGAAAGAAGCTTCAAACTTGTCATCTTTGATTCTATTTTTGCAGCTCGTCTTTAAGATTCTAACGTTGCTATTGCCATAACATCGTCATTAGAAATTGTACTTCTGCTAGTTCTTAAAAGTCTTCCTTAACTGTGGCTATGATGATAACATCTCGGCTGTTCAGTAACAGAAATACGTTGAAATCATCGGCTCGGTGTTATGGTCTTGTGACTCCATCACTTCAATTAACGGTCTACCAGCCATTCTGTACATTCATCAGAGATTTCTGTTCCAATGAAGGAGGAATTCTGGCTTTACAAAGTTTTTCGATTCCTGTATCAAGCCTAGGAGGCTTTGCACCCGTTATCTACATTCATAGCCTTTCGGTCGCTATTTACTGTAAAAATAACGCCTTCAGAAGCAAATCTGAGGCAATATTACTGCAGTCGAAAATGCGACTTAGCCAAAAGTACTCGATGTGCACTCAGGCGTACATTTGGGATGTGGAACTTATGTGAGCAAGTCAATGACACCAACAGACGCATATGCTGATAAGTTTAACCAGGCGTAAGTAAATAAATGTTAGTAAAAATAACTGTCAGCAAAAGCATTTATGAATCGGTACCAGAAACCGAGAAATCGAAGTGAATCTCCCTTCAAACATGGCAGATTTTCATAGCTACAGTAAATACACCTCTCAACAAAGCCCAAGTTAATCATGAAATATTGCGTTTTTAAGAATGAAATTTGAACAAAATCTCCGTTAAATAAATCGCTATTATCTTTTACAATCCTTTCCCAACGAGGCACAAAGGAGTCATGAGTCCCACTTGGAAAAATTTTGTGTTACAGAAGCAAACACTCCAACAGTGAACACCCCCTACCTAATGTTAGAAAACATCAAAGTTGGGGTGAGGCAGTATCACCGTCTTATTCCCAAATGGAAACCTTCTCGCGGGTGGGCTTTGCGGTATGAAATCTTGCATTGCCTTGCAACAATGGGATTTCCTTCAATTAGCTCAAGCAGCAACTTAGCACAATGGACTCCAGGTGGTGCCCGAAACAAAGAGATGTCCGTTACAAAAAGTGAAACGGCTTTAAGATTATCAACAGATCACAAAAACGGGTGCCCATACATAAGTGGTAGGCTTTGTTCCAAATAAAGGTGGGACAAAAGTATGAAAATGTTATACTGTTTCTTTAATTGGTAATGTAAACCTGTTTTCCATTCGGCACAATGACAATCTCGCGGTTGAATTATTATTGCAAAGACAAAAAAAGTGTGCACGGAGGGAGGTTACTAGCCTAAAAAGCCGTGGCGCATAGGTCAGCAAGAATGTTTATCGGTGACTCAATTTGTTGCAATGACTTCAAACTGTTTAAAAACCTTTAAAGCACTTTTTTAAGTATGCTAAGCAAAACAGAATGCTGACACAAGTTCATGAAATGAAGAGAAGTGAAACTACTCATGCGCCAAACAGCTTTTCAGAAAAGAGAAAGATAAGTCGACGGTTCAGATAAAAAAACCAATTATTATTCCTCCTCTCATATTACCTTTACAACAAGAAATATAAAGGGTTGAGGATATTTTAAACATGAATGCATGCAATGGGAAAGGTAAATATCTTATGAGAACCGAAAAATTTCATACTGTGCAATCAAAGAATTGCCAAGACAATTCTTTGAATGAGGGGAGGGAAAAGAGGCATTCAAATGCATGCAAAAGTTACATGAGGTTCAAAAAACTCCTCGCACATCAAATAATGCGACATAACCACAAGCTTGTCAATTTCAAGGTGACGGAAAAGCAAGAAAAGATGTGAAACTCTTTAGATCTATTTAAGAACGGCGCGACGACTTGAATAAGCAAAGTCGTCCGAGATTCAAAAACACCTTGCTTAGCAAACGACATAATTAAGCCACTTTCAGAGACAAGGAGAGGGGAGAGAAGCACATTCGCCACAGAAAAAGGACTCACTTGGAATACGAAGCCGCAGAAAACTAAGAGACCTTTCTTTAATCAAACAAGGCGATTCCCCAATATTTTACACATTTTAATGTGGAGGGAAGATTAGGGCAGAGAGAAGAGGCAAGCAACATAACTAATTATGACCAAAAATGCACGAAAGCAAAGATTTGCCCATCAAAAAGGCAGTAACCATAGCATAGATGGGAAGATAGGCGGGAAGGGGACTCGCCATATCTGATTAAGCCCCGCGCGTCGACTCAGGTTGGTAAAGAAGTCGCGCACAGTGGAGAGCTCCTCATTGGGCCGGAGGATGTGATCGAGGCTGTGCCGGTGCATCAGCTCGTGCAACGCTGCCACTTCCTGCGCATAGTCAAGAGCACGCACCGCCGCTGCCGACTCGAACACAGCCTCCGCATCTTTCACCGGGGGTCGATAGGGCCATAGTTCGCGGCGGTCGCCATCGTGACAGACGAAAGCTACTATCTCGTCGTCCGATTTGTTTTCAAAGTGCTGTGGTGAAAAAGTGGGGAGTACTAAGTGGAATAAGGCAGGCCGCTACACAAATATCCATCATGGCATTCAGAACTATCTATCAAGAGCTTCCACACAAACAAAACTACTGAGTTCATAAAAATGAACAAACACAAAAGAGTGCGATGTGAATCCGTTTTCCCATGCATTCATGAATTTGTACACTTATAGGAATGCTTATCAAACATGTGAAAAGCTTCGACGTAGAAATATTCGCTGATGTAGTTGAGCTATCATAGGGCAGCCTGACCGAACTAAATTTTCAAAACGCCAATTGCTCGTAAATGATTGAGCTCACCATTGCAACGGAAAGAGTAGTCGCTTGCACAATTACGTCACAGATTATACAACGGCCAGGTCCTCTGCGTTATGAAGGAAGGTTCAAAAAACGACACCCAAGACTATTGTCTGGGAAAGGACCACCAAACCCATGATCACACCGCTGTTGAGCGTACCATCACCATAATGTGCTTGAAGTCCTACCTAGGTATCCGCGAGTTTTACGTCTTCGCCCATAAGGAAAGTCTCGAACGCATTTCCAGTACTTAATACGACTCAAAATGCGATATATCTACTATTTAGTAAGTTTTACTTTCTCTTAAAGTCCAGCACCAGCGGCAGTAACAGCTGAAACACAAGATAGGGTTTGAGGCTTCGTTGTAGTGAATGATCAGAAACAGCTATCTGCAATTCTCCTTTACTACTACTACAGCCCCTAACCTCCGTCACAGAAAGGGCTATTTTGAGAATCCAATTGAAGATTAGGGTCATTTGAATTCTTGTAAAAGTGAAAAACACAGATGGGAACTTCCAAACACTTGCCGGTAGATTCACTCCCATCGACATTTACTTCTGAAAGAAGTAGATTGGGTGATCATTTAGGGAATAGAACTGCCCGTAATTCTGCCTATGGTGATCCAACGGTAAGTGTTTGGAGGACCTAACGAATATCACGTTCAGGAAGATTCTTTATTTTTGATCCTGCAAAATCATGTATTACCTCTGTCAATACACATCGAGATTAACGTGTTAAGAACATTCAGTTTTGTTAAATGGATGATGAGACAATTGGTTTGGCCAACATCAAGTGGAAATGGAAAGTCGTGGATCCCATTCACATGCAATAACGGATTACAACAAGCTTTAAAGACTAGCAACTTGTGCTTCACTTAATTCATCGTAAAATTGTGTACCGTTTTGGACTGTTTACTCACTGACTTGGAGCGACAGTTTTTGTACTTTTGTATTCCAGTGTTATTTGCGTGAACAAATATGTAGCATTGATTACTCCCAAGCAATCACTCACCATCCTGAAATTTTAAGATATGCATCACTTCATCCCTATATCACTAAGCCTGCTTTATGCTTGATTGGTGCACTGTGGACTAAATTTACTGTGAATTTCCCAGCTGTTGTAGGCCAAACAACAACTATGACTGAGATCCATCTACCTGATACAACTCATTGCAACTCAAAGGTAGGCGATAAAAGCTTCCTCAGAAACCGTCATGCCTAGCTAATCGGTGAAAAATTCCTGCTCTTACTTACATTCTTCCAAGATATTATAACTCCTACAACAAAACATCTATGGGAAGACCTCATACTACACCTCAGGAGGGGGGGGGGGGGGGGGGGAAGAAAAAAGGTTCTGCTCATCATATCGTCATTCTTCACATTTTCCCGATGCTGATCCTCAAAATGATGAATTTTATCTTTTTATGGTGCTGGAACTGGACAATAACACGAGGAACAGAATGAGAAAATGAAAAATAACAGTAAATATAAACGAAATCGCTCAGAGTTTGGTTTTCTGACTTTCACAGAAAAAGCATTTCAATGAATTAGAACTCGCAACATATGTCGCTATAGAAAAAGGGAACCAGAGTACAAGTTTTAATAGTGACTCTCTCCGTGAATAAAATAAACTGAGGAGCTTTCTGCATACGTTTGCTTCCCATTGTAAAAAAATTCCACAAAATTGGTTAGTTAATTCAGAACTATTTTGAGGATCGGATTGATGATTAACACCATCGGATCTGTGGCGAATTAAAAAACGAAGTTGACTACTTCATTCTGCTACCATTCTGATCGTCGATGAGCTCCCTATCATTTAAATTTAGAATTGTGGTTGATGCTGCCTGGGCAGGCTGTGAAATGCAGGTAGCCTTAGATTGTACCGCAGTCCTTGCCATTGCTAGCATCCCAAACATATCCTTCGCAAGTCCTTTCACTCTACAATAGCAATCATTACGATGCCTGCCTGGTTGGTCCCCTAGGCGCTTCGGGAATCAAATAACACAACGTAGAGCTTGGACTATTCCGTCATGCCTACCCGGTCAAATATCCTCCCATCAAAGCAATTCCCGGCAATATCAGTATTGCTAAGTGTTCTTTCACCAGCATGAACATATCCACGTTTGTAATCTTAATGGCGCTATCAAAAAAGGACTAGATAGCTATTTAACAACCATTATCTGTTTTTCCATCAACGATTGTTCTGAAGTTTAAGCAAAACAGTCAGCTTTTGATTTACGTTACTATTAATGATTTTATCAGAGCAAATCCCATGTTGGGACACATTTTATACATATTTTTCCCATACAAATTCTAACTACTTGAAAATAGATAATGTGCCCGTTTGCACCCCACTTACGCGTCGATTGACGGCTTCGGTGACGGCTATGACAAGAGGCGCGGGCATGAGACTGTCGAAGTCCTTGTCGTCCAGTATTCGAGGGAGGTCCGAAAGTGAGAGGAAGGAGCGTCCACCGTGGAGCCGTTTCAGTCCTCCAAATTCCTCCAACTGAGCCGCCCAGTCAGGGAAGAAGTCAAGGTGGTCGGTGCAACCTGTCGCGACAAAATTCTACAAAAGGAAGAAGTGAAGAGCATTCTTGGTCAGAGCTTTGTGTGAATAATTGTTTGAAAAAGGAATGAACAAAACATAAAAGCAAAGAATTGGTTAATTCAATCAGCAGGAAATAAAAAGACATCCCACAGATTTAATTTTCAAATGAAAAGGTGAAAGGGAGATGACAAGTGGTGAGTGGCCATTATCGAAATGAACCAGGTCATTATGCTGATGTGAGTCACAGGGCGCAGGCATCATGGAAAACAAGTGGAAAAACACTTGAAATGGTTTGTAAAAACGGTTGATTAGATGGATGAAAGGTGAATGTGCGCTAAATATGCCTATGGGCTTAAGGAAAAGATTTCAGATTTTAAAAGCCGAAATGAAAGGCGAAAAAATTGGGATTAGGTGTACTCTGAGTCCGTCTTACCCCAATTCTAAGTTGCTATAGCAATTCAAATGTCCAAGTAATTTTGACATATAAGGATGCGAATGCAACATAGATACATCATATTCTTTTAAAAACGCATGAATTTGCAGGAAAATGGACATATGATGCCATAAATGTAAGTAATGAGGCGGGAGCTCCAAGAATTCCAGAGTAATACGTTTTGTTGCCGGATAAAACGACCAAACGGTAAATAAACGATATTTGAATCCTCTGCATGCAGAATTGCGACCAAGTTCGGCCCGGTACTTAAGGCAGACACGTTAAAGATTACACAAATTGGCGTAAATGGAAATTTGCTGGCATGAGAATGGGTTGAAAATAGGAAGATGGCAGAGAGCACAGTGGAGAGTACAAAACCAATAGACTTTCGCATATTCGTCTAATTTTTACGATACCTGGATATAAACAAGGGCACGCATTCTAAAAGTCCCTCTTTTGGTCGCCTGATAATACAAAACACAAATAAACTCACCAGCAAAATGAAATGGGCCTTAACTAAACTGACTATTTAATCGGCATCTTAGTGACAGAAGTACAGGAATTTACAATTTTTTAGCTGGCCCGTCCCTCATCTTTTTAAGCTTCCACGGTTTTCGAATACCCACGTTGTCAATCTGAGTAACATATCAATTATGAGGCCCTTTTTTTCAATGGCCCAAATATTATGGTGCTACCTTCAACTTTGACAGTTGAATGCGCTAGAAATGGGCGGGTGAGAAAACGTTAATCTCACGAAGGTTCAAAGACGGTTAATAAAAAAGACCGATCAATGCATCAATTGGTCTACCTTACCACTCTTGATCGGCAGCATTAGCAGAAAAAGAAGTACCTGAGCTCTACCCAGAACGATTCGCACTCCATCCACACTGTTGCTCTGCAGGCTGACAAGAAAGCGAATCAACTCGTCACGACCATGACCTCTAAATGGAGAGAAAATGAGAAAAAAGGGTAAAAATGAAAAAGAAGGGTTGCTAAGACTGAGAAGTGTCAGAAAAGAATTGGACGCAAAAATTGGGCTGCAGATTTAGCACAATGGTAAGCAAAAAAATGTCGTAAGCCTCTTACCTTGGAGACTAAATTTGACTGTAAAAATTAGAAGTGTGACACTGTAATAAGATAGGGGAAAATTCATTAAAATATGCCTTCTAACTTTTGAATTGCCTCCGCTTTTGCATTATCTCACTCTCAATTACACTTAAAGGCGACTTTATGTACCACAGAAGCTCCTTGTCACTCACATAATCATATCCTCTTTAACCAAGAAGCAGTAGCTGGGCCGTCCTTTCATGCGCCACCACTTTGACAAGAAGATGAGATCATTCTAGGCACGGATAAGAAAAAAAATAGACAAAGAAGCGAGTCGGGAAAGTGACAGAGTCTAGGTCGGCATAACTTCTGAAAGGGGTTATTAGTGAAGACTAAAACTGTACCCCACCGACAAATTTACTGATAATCAGTCAGTAGGCAGAATTGTGCGACTGCTTCCTTGAACTTTGAATCTTGGTAACTCCCACTAATTTGAGGCTAAACATTGTCATTTCAATAAATAATAAATTAGAATCTTATGCCTTAATCATGCAGCCCCCGAGGACGCTGTAAACTCAGTGGGGGGAGACTGAAATAACCCGCGCAATATTAAACGCACCTTAACATCTTCAATGAGAGCCTTGATGTCGTAGCCGAAGTAGAAGCTTTCGTCCTCAAAAAGATGTGAAAATACCAGAACTGTAGAGCCACAGACACTAAAAGATGCCACAAATAAATTCAAAGAAGGATTAGGGTTAAAGATGGCCACTGGAATGGGTAGTGCAAACGCACCGGTAGAACTTGCTCGTTCCCAAACATCCCAGTGGTCTAGGTGGACGACCTTTGAGACCGAGGCGTTTGTTGAAGCCCATGAAGGCAAAAGCTTTTACGATTGTTGATGGAGGCCACAGCTACAAGAATTGATCACATGCAACTTGTTCTGGTTATAGTATCTCCCTGGCTTTCCATAATTGCCATCTATTGCCGTTTTGGTATTTGTTAAAGACTATACAGAGCACTAAGCTACTGTGTGACTGATCATAGTCATCTACAGAGTAGAAAATGTGCATAGATGCATTCTTAGGAATATGTTGAATTAGAGCTTTATTGTAAACTAAAGATAACGTAAATAAATTGGTTGTCATAGGAGAAACTGCAATAAGGAAATAGTTTCTGTATTAAGGGCTGGGTAGCGAAGAACATTTAGCCGAAAGTTGGATTCATGGCAGATGTGCTTTGTACAAAGTGCTCAGTATTGGAAAGAAATTTTAAGTCGAGAACATCTATAATGCTGGACAAAACTATGATCAACAAGCTAAATCCCAAGAAAATGATTCTCTATGGTGTAAAGAAAAGCGTAAATAAAAGGGCAATTTTACGATAAAAATTGGGTGAAGGAAATAAATTTAAGGACACCATAGTGTTCTTCACTAATCAATTAACTCAAATGAGATTTGCCTTCAGATCTCATCCGATTTGCACCGACAGTTCCTAGATGACTCCCTCTGCTTGTTTCATCCATTAAAGAACACGAGAGGATGAATTTCTTTTAAACACAATCGCTTGTCTCTGTGGAGTGTATCCTCGTCTGCCAAAAGGATTCAAATCACTCAATGGCCAACAAAATTGCAACTAATGGGAGCGATGAGAACGTTGGTCCTTGCAACGTGCCAGCCTTTTCATCACTTGGGAAACGTTTGTTCGTTTTATTGAAGTCCCTTATAAAAATTAAGGCTAAAATACTTTGTAAAACCTTTACGAAGTCCTGTTATGAGAATAAAATTTTGCCTGCGGCACCTCAAAGTGCCTTTCGACTGAATGCTTACTTTAATGCATATAGTTATTTGAATCCACTACGATCCAGCCTACACTACTTTATGTGACTCTCACCATATCCTCTTACGAAAGAGGGGCAACGACGGTGTTCAGATTATTTTGAACTGATGTTTCGCAAAGACAAAATCTAGTACCCAAGCGAGTGGTCCGTACGTTACTTCGTTAGGGGTTAAAATCGTTAAGACCAGTGGCACAAGAGTCGAGTATTGAAAGCAACCTGTTTCATTCCCACTTCGTATCATGGTCAGCGAACAAATAAGATCTAGGTGGGACGAAAAAACGCTTTACAATATCCGACAAAATAAGACCCAAAAAGCATAATCCTAAAACATGACACTTCTTTGAGGTTTGATCAAAACGTACTACTAATTGCTAAAATCAATTGCCATTAAATAACTGATTTACATAACAACTCCCACATAACTTGAGGTTCTATCTTCTAAACGTCCTTCACAGCTCTTTATCTGATAGAGGAGAAGTCTGCAATACTTAGATCCAAAGCATTAGCTTTTGGAAGCAAATTGTTTGCCGCATTACGCTTCTCGTTTCAAGGGTACTTTCAGTGCGCTTGAAGCTCAGTGCAGGATCGCAACAATTGGAAGCGCTGAGAACAGCACGTACAAAAAAGCGATGAGCTATAAAATACCGGTCCTAATCGTAACTATAAGTATTTACTCACTTCATATTTCCCAAAACCGGAAGTTGATTTTGCTACCAAATAACTAGTCCGAGATCGGCATCAACTGCAGGCAATTAAGAAAGGAAATGAAAGGAAGAAGGGCATTCACATACCTTTAGAGGTTCAATTTCAACAGGAGTTTGAGTTCGAATACCATAGGTGGCCAAAATTTGCTGAAGGCGATTCGACTCCGCAAGGAGGATCATTTGAATGCACATCGTGGCAGGACGACTCTGAAAAGGAAGAATTGTCAAGCAAATAAACGTCTAAGAAACCGACCTTTTAATAGCTCAATCATCCCTTTTTAGAGTACTTTTCAACTACCTTCCCGTTTATTTAAGGTGGTCAAGTAAAACAATGAGCATAATTTTTTGTTATTCGTGCACTCAAAAGTGATTACCCTGATGATAGAAATTCCAGAAAACACCATTGAAATTCACCAAGAACATGAGATGCTGCGAGCAGGCGGGAATAAACCTACATTAAAACTATTTTGCAAATGCATATCAACTTTTCAGTACCATTTCTATCAATTCAGGAGGAATTTTATGGATGCTACGATGAGATACCATACAGTTTGAAGTAAAAGGCGCTCAGTTAAACATGCGCAGCCATATGGTGCCGTAAAAATGACAATGATACCGTAGTAGAAGAATATATTTGACTGACTAAACCTTTTCAGTCGTCCGCAATTCAGTCTAAACGACATTCATAATATCTACGCTGTCAGTCTTCCAGACCCTTCTGTAGGTCGCTAATGCGGCTTCAGGTGCAACTAGAGCGCTGGGTGATCTGCAAGTCATGCATGTCTCACAAAAGGTCAAAACACAGGTAAGGAAAAGTTTTCTTTTTCCCGTTTTAACTAACCACTAATTTTGATTTTGTGCATTGCCCGAAAATTAAGGACGAACTGTGAGTTGCCAACGTGAAGCAGAAAATGGGCTCAAAGTGGATCAAAGTGTAGTCAGAACTGACAAACCGATCCCATAATCAAGGTGTATTACGGTTAATAGATGCTGGGTTCAGTCCCAAAGAATTGGGCTATCGCGCCAATAGCTGGGCATTTTTTTCGTGTCACCCATGTTGCTAACCTTGTAACACCCCTATTTCGATGACTAATTTTCCTCGAATTTGTGACCTCAATAACACCTACTAGGATAATCAGAGTGGCACATTTTTTAGTAAATAGGGCATTGTCGACTTTTATTACATCTAAAAGATCACATGCAAGACAAATTAGTTCAAAACTAAGCCCAACATCCAATAACAACACAAGGATCTGCACAACTAAACAACAACCGGCCTTGGTAAATGAAACTCCAGTTACAAACTCCAGTTTGACAGAGTTCCTTAAGCAAAGGCATATTAAATAACAGAAATATAAAAACACAGTGGTAGATTGCAGTCATGTGAATGCCATTTCGAGACCTACAACTGTGGCTGAATTTTGGCACCAAACGAAGTGATAAAACGCCGTGATGACCGCCAAACGGACACAGTCAGTGAACTTTTCGACTGGCGGCTTCAGTTCGACATTTTAGCTCGACTTGATAAAAGAGAATTGGGGTAAAATGCTTTCAATTTAAAGCAAAATATTTAAACATGAGAATGTTAATCTCAGTATTGCGAAATAATTAAAATGAATAGCTTTAAGATCACAGTATGAAGGACCAAATAAATGGAACTTTGAAACCGCTGCGATTGGGACGATTCTATTAGCAGCCGCGGGGAATTTTGCGTTAAGAAATAGTGATCTTCACTACAAGCCACAGCGATAGAAGACTCTAAATAAGTATTAAATGTCACTTATAGAGACGCCTTAAACTAATTTTAATGAATAGAGAGTGGTAGGACCGTAGAAAAAGGTGAGGCGCCTTTAAATATTGTTAAAAATGGAAACGAGCCAGTTTTGAAATTCCAACTTTGAAATGAGGAGAGAAACTGCACACAGTGGTTATGGTTTCCGATTACCGACTATAATAAAAACAGATTATAAATCTACGAAACTACACAGAAGAATGTACCAGTTTGGAAGTCGCACTTTTAGGCGCTCCAAATGGGCCACCACCGACAATCAACCATTTACAAGCAAAGCGAAAAATGTTTACAAGCATGTGAATGTTTTGCATTATTAAGAAGGGGAGGAGATACCATCTACAACTTACTGTAATGGTTGAGTAGCGCGAAATGAGGGACATAGGTCGGATATTGGCGGGGTTGTGTCGTCCAAGGGGATCCAGGTCGTGAATGGTCAAAACCCCTTTCACTGGAAGCAAAATAACAAAAGACGAACAACTGAGAATAAAGTAAAAGAGTAAGCATAGAAAAGGTGAAGCCTCTTAGCATCTTGAAGCCTGGGTACGAAAAGGGATAAACAAGATCACGTATAGTATTTGAAAGTGTAGTATGCGATAGTGCAATCCACAGTTCAGAAACGGTTCAAAAAAATTTTTCTCCAGATTAATCACTCAAATACATCAAAATCAAGAGGGCTGTCGGCTCTTCATCATGAATACATACGTGGCGCTATCGGCACATCAAGAAACTTGGAGACTAACGCGCCAAGAACAACTTTTGGCACTGGTCAGCGTGACTGATGAAGCAACCATCTTGCACCTTCATCAACTGGGAAAGTTGAGAAACCACTAAGAAAATAGATGCCACCAAAGTGTCATCCGTCCACAAATGACGAGTTACTTCAAATGCTAATAACTTATTCTACACCTTCTCACTTCGCTTTATAAAAGTACGCTGTTTTGGATTATTCAAACACTGAAGTGTGATAACAAGTGAATTTCAACTTTTTATTCAAATTTTTAAGAAAGTGAGCACATCACTGTTCATTCTTAAATGATCCATCCACTACTCCACAGATGCGCACTTCGAAGGTATGCCTAAGCGTTCTTACTGTATGTAGCACGCTATACTTCTCTATAAAATGGGAGAGTAATGCTACTTCACCCCATCCTCCACTTTCCTCATTGAACGAATCTCTAAATGATGAAAAGCCTCTTTTCTTCTAAAATTATGCGTTTGGGATATTTTTAAATTAGTGTAAATTTCAAGTGCATGATACCCATCACTTTACCTTAAAAACCAGTGGTCATTACCACGTGTTTGTACATGTGCTGAACTTGAGGGAATAAAAACAATTTAAAAATTCAAGAAGTGAGATTTACCGATTGAGTGTTCAGTGATTCCGTGATATGGTAGAGAAGTTCGTGTGAAAGAGGGTTCGACGTGACGCCTCCACCTAATTAAGTAGCCTATCTGTGATCCAATAATTTCATTTTTGGATAGTTGTCAATATGGGGATGAAATCGGAAGTTTTACAAAGTAAACAGTGCTATTTTGATAGCGCAGCAAGCCTATAAGCATGACTGTTCCACAGAACTTCCGCAAGGTGATGTGAACATGCCCCAACAAAGAAAAGTCAACGTGTTTCAAGTAGCTATTCTATGACATACGCGTCAGACATGAAAAAACCTTGGAACTATTAAACCGTTGAAAGGCGGGAAGGTAAAATTAAAAGCGCGATCATGCAAGGTGGCAGCTAGTTACAAGAAATCAGGGTGGAAAGGATAACTATCAGAATTCTTTCGTCCACTTTAGTGACGGGGGACACCATAAAGTGTAAAAATTTTTTGGGAAACTGTAGAAAAATCAGGAAAACTAAACGCATATCTAGCATGAATACACAGATAAACCACAAAGGATTGAAGCCTAGCAAATACGAAATTATTTCACTAAATAACGCGACAAGTAGTACTAATTGCTAAATAGTTGAAGAGTTTTGCCAGAATTAAAAAGGAACGGAAAGGAAACCCAAAAACGAATGCTAAGTTAGAGTAAAAGGGGATCTAGTGGTATGACTTCAACCTCTTTGGAAGCCAGTAAAATAGGTTAAATCATAGCGGATAAAACAAGGAGGGTGATCGCAATAAGCAATAGCAGGATGTGTAGACGATCTCGAGTGAAAGAAGATCCATGGCCCTTCATCCATCCTTTCCACTAGTGCTTCGCTCCAGATCGATTTTGCAGACAAATCGGTGTGAGGAAAAGACCCCAAATAATTCTTGTATTACTGTAGCTCGTGCCGCCAAAGGAGCGAATTGCAAAGGAGCTGAACGAAATCAAGAACCCAAAAGTAGCTAAGAAATGTGGAATTAAAAAGAACGGAGTAAATCGGGGCAGTTTCTTCATTGAGAGCTACAGTACGAAGCATGGCAAACTGTAGGCAAGGTGGAAAATAGGGGGGTTAGAATCAAGATACCGACGTACGAAGCATCTGCGAGATGATGTAAACCGATTGTCCCCACAAGAAGCGCGGTTCCATGCGCAGCTTAAAGTTGCTCCTCCTGGCCTGCGAGCCCGGATTTGCTCGCTCAGCGTCCACCGAGCCTTCGGGCACAAAGTAGTACTTGGGTAGCCATGGATACTTCTCCGAGATCGGATGTACAATCAAAGGCTCCATCAACTCGGCGAATTGCTCTGCGCGTTCCAGCTGCTGGTTGAAGAAGCTGCCGATCACCCGGTAGGCGAAGAACATGGGCCACTCACTCTCAATGCCCCGGAACTTGCTCAACTCGCCCTGTGAATAGAGTGTGTTGGTCTCCAGCACTGTGGCATAGCCATCTCGCGTGAAGCGCTTGTAGCCGTACGTACCCTTCAGCACGTCCACCCGCTCCATCGTCGCCTCGACGATGCTCGGAATATGGATAGCAAAGGCGGGCCAAGAGATGGTGGTGATTAGCGCTGCATCAGTGCCCTGTAGGATGATGGCGTATTCGAGTAAAGAATCGTTTCTCACTGTACCACCGCGTGCAAAACTCGGGCTCCTTAAGTGTCTAGCCTGAGGGCGCTTGATCCTTAGGAAATCCACCATCCTCAGCATTACTTTCAGAAATACACTTTAGCCGTTGGTTGTATTGTTGAAAAAGATCTTGTATAAATCAGAGACTTAAAATTTGTTGCCTTCAAAGATATCTTTTGATGCAGCCATGCTCAGAAGCACCACTCATGGTACTAGTGAAGTTTATTTTTGCACACGCGAATGAACCAGCCAACGCCATATAGCTAAGAAAACGAACACAGTATGGGTTGTTCACAAATGATTCATCCACTACCGTACGGAGGCACACATCTGAAGTACCACTTAGTCGTCCCCGTCTCCACAAGACGAAGAATTCTTGGTGCATCTAACATGTAAATTCAATGCTCAATCATAAAAGTAGGAGAGTGGTGCTACTTTACCTCATACAACAGTTCTATAAGCGACAATCTTCGTCCCTATTTGCAAAATTATAAGTGCAAGTGATCACTGACATTTCTTGCAGCAGACACTCGCCCACCGTTAACAATTTATCACGATTTATGGCACAAAACGAGATTGATTAAAAGGTTCACTCAACCACGTGGGCGATTCAATTACCGTAAATTATACCATATATTGGTATCATGGATTTTCATTCACTCTCACAGCCTCTCAGTCTTCGTAAGTTAATAAGTTGCGTTCTCAGGAATGGCTTAGGACTTTACAATTAAACTTGGACATTCGATGCCAACGCAAAATCATTTCACTTATCCAAACAAAGTTAAAAAAACCAACCCAGCGACTTTCGAGGATGGTCTCAAATATTTCATCCGGTGCAACAACGATATATAGATGAACCGATGTTATCCCATTCCACCAGAGAAAGAAAATCCTCAATGCTACTTTACATGCGACGCTTATTAGGTAAACAAAAGCAACCGAGTTTACTCATCAAGGCACCAGTTTTTCTTTATTCCAAATATTCCGTCATTTGTAGAACAAAAAACAATCTACAACATATCTATCACGTTCACTCTAGTTCTGGGTCAAATCTCCAATGAAATTTGCTTCCGATCAAGGTTTTGTGTGCATTCGTTGCCTTCACTGGTCAAACTTCCGACATTAACTTTCTAGATATCTGCACTACCGAATTCAAGTTTTGGGACAAAAAACAACAAACCCAAATATATCTACGGTATCATAAAAATTGAGATAAAAACAAATCCATGCATAATTAGAAGACTAAGTACGTTGAAGAGAATAAAAAGCCTTAACATTTACAAAAGATATTAACATTGAAATAAAAAACGGATTTAGAAAATTGAAGAAATGATAAACCGACCTTCGACGCAGATTCACGAGGTAAAAGAGTGCTGAGAATGCTGCTATTACGCGTATGGGCATCTGCATCAGCAAGCATAACCGTAGTGTGATCGCCCTCAGTACCAAAGATGTTAAAACCCAAGACGGACTCAAGTGCCGCTTTGGCCATCCCGATTGAACTAGCGTAAAACAATGATGAGCGAGTGGGCCTCCCTTACCTCGCATGCAGCTCCGTGATGTCTCGATTTTGCTTCGAACCGCGTTCCCACATTCCATAGTCGGGGATACGATAGGCTCGCTCCAGATAAAAGACGAGGTTCTGAATAAAGGCAGCTTCGATTTTGGTGTGAATTATCTAATCAAGGAAGGGATTATGAGGTAATGAGAGGATGCCTGAAGGCCAGAGAGAATCATTTGAACGAGCTGGAGTACATAAAGGCCAACACAGTCCATTTGAAGATGTTTGTATCCAGTACCTTCCACCGGTGTGCCAGTTTCGTAATCTAGACGAGTGTGTAGACACGTCTCCAGGTTCTGGTTAGTCTTGAAGTTTTCCAACTGTAATGAAAAGAATGCAACACTTTGAATGTGAATCGACCCTACCCTATCCGCCTGCCGCATCCAGCCAAGGAGAATAGCACGCATGCACTTTACAGCTGACTGGCGAAGTTCGTAGCTCTGCCCTGAGTCATCTCCACTGCGCCTATATTTCGAAAAGAAGAATTAATCAAGGAAGCATTGTTGGATGTGTTATTGAATAAACGTGCTGGAAGGATCGATGCAGGGCCCAGATAGCGGTAGCACAGTAGACGTTGTCGCGAACATGTGCAACACAATCATGAGCAAGAGCTTCAGGCCGACGTGGGAAAAGTCCACTGAATGGATGCTGATACTTTATTAACTGATCTTTCACTAAAAAACGCAAAATTCACGCATATTTACCCAGCCAGATGAATGACAAATAAAATTTAAACAAGATATTCTACTCACATTAAATATATCTGTAGATACTTTTAGGTGAAATTACGTAAAGAAAGTGCAGAGAAATGAATGTGCGCGGATGTCCGAGCTAAATGATTTGATCCAAACCAGCGCAGATGGTAAGAAACCGCGTTTTTAAGATTTCAACTGTACTAATATGATATGACTAATCGAACTGAGTGAAAAGACGCAAAAAGAAACAAAGTGAACCGCAAAAGACGGCATTCACAACGAATAAAACCAAATTTGTATCGCATGGCGTTATTGTATGAGTTGAGAAGAAGCAAATGAGGTGTTTGAATAAAACGTACCAATTCGGTAGAATCGATTTAGGTGTACATGTGTCTCTTCCTTTTCCCAATTGCTACTGACCATCTCGCAAGAAGCGAACGTGACCCCAGCCCGAAAGGCGTGGAGGACGCGCCGTGCAGTTGTATAAAGTAAAACAAAATAACACAGCTTCGTACAAACTCACTATTTTTGGAGTAAAAAAAGAGTTTTTTTACGAAAAAATATTAGTTTACTCCTCTAACGGCCTAAACTGAAATAGTTCTGCGTGTATCATTTAATTAATGATGCTGCTGCAAACTGTGCGCGTTTTATCTGTTTGCCCTATTATTGGTTTTCCCACTATTGCTACAGGTCTTTACTGGGGGTGGATGGGATAGGGATAAATGGCAAATGCACAGAAGGTTGCAAACATATTTGAGCTTGCCTCAGTTGCCTTTAAAAAACTGGCCGAACTAACCCTGGATCTAAAAATATTTCAAGCTCAGGCTGAACAAGGTCCCTCAACTAGCAGTCGTTGGACAATCATAGAAGTAGATCAACTGAAGGACGCCATTGCACGTTTCGGGAACGATCTCACTAAAATTGCTAGCGTCATAGAAACCAAGACTTTAACTCAAATCAAGCACAAATTGAAAAGTCAGGGCCTCGAGGGTCCGGGTCCAGAACGTGTTGAGGGGGCAGAAAATGATGATGAGAAGAATGCTGGCAGGTCTCCTGAGAATGAGTCGGGGCATGTTCAAGAACTACCCGAGGTGTCTACAGTTTCAGTTGATCGCGGTAGAAGGAAGCAAACTTTTTCTGAGCGAAATGACCCAGACCTCCCCGACCAAAAAGTTTGTTGCCCGAGCAAATGATCATGTAAATTTTAGAAACGACGTTTGGATTCGGGTTCAGGGCCTTCAGTTTTGACCATACCGAAAATCAAGGGACCGGTAGTTGCTAGACATGTGGTGCCAGTCGCAGGGGTCCAAAGAACGCCGATAACAGTGCAGACCTCGCCTGCGGGCAAACCTCGCGTCGTTCCAATCACACCGTCAGCTTCCAATGTTCTATCCCACGCGCATATGCGAAAACAGGCGGTGATGTCACAGGAACTAAAATATGAACAGTATTCTGAGGTGTGCTGCACTAGCATTAGCTACTTTTCATTTGTTGCTCTAGCGTATTTCTCGTGTGAACACTTCTTGAAGTCGAGAAGCTTGGATGACTCTATTAAGATTCTATAACATAAGATTGCTAACCAAAAGCCGATGTCTTGAAATATTTTGCTGGTGTTGAATGCGGTCTTGACATCAGTAGCCCTTCTGCCGTTTTCTTTTTTAAGTTTTTTTAATGGTAGGTGAAGCTTTCACCACGTGTCATTTGTGAGAGCTAGCTCATTTCTGCGTTTTTTATTCACGTCTTGATCACAGCGCTTTGTTAAGAATCATTTCTTGGTTTCAAACTGCAGCTTCCCATTTACCCATGAAGAGTTCATAAGCGGTGGATAGCTATCATAGAGGCATGGAAGGCCTGAAAGGCTGGAAGTATACTTAATGTCTTCGGGGCCCCATAAGATCAATATGATCACTAGCAGTCAGCGTGGTGCTTAATGTTTTTTTCTGTAGGACGAAGGCGATGATCACTTTGGAGATGATGACGATGACGATGATGATGATGAGGAATCGGATGCGCCCTACTACTCCGAAGATGAAACAGGCGGCAATAGTACCCCACAAAATTGAAAACGTAATTACATCACCATATTTACCCTCCCTTCTATGTGCGTATGCTGGCTTAGCAACCCGAACGACTGTATATACGTAATGATATCATGTATTTATGCGTTTTTATTCATATTAATGATGTAAAACCTTTATGTGCCTTAGTAATCGAGGGTTGTGTCTAATGTAAAGCTTTTTATTTGTGGATTTTAGGAAACTATAATAAGTAGTTTATATGAAGTGGACGGAACTAAAGGGTAGATTGTTGGCAAAACGGGAATTAAAAGTCCCAATCTATTCATTGGTCTCCTCTCCGTCTCTTTTTCATGCAACGAATTTTTAGAGATATCGTTGACCGTTTGTGTCAATTCTGGAAAACCAGGGTACGCTCACCTTCTAGATTAACTCTGGAGTCGTATACCTGTAACTTATCCAATTTATATCTATTTTTTAGGCGCTCCGTAAGATAATGCCATAGTTTTCGCCTCGGTAGGCATAGCTTTGAGCTAGGCAGAGTTAGTTAATTAGAATCCAACTAGTCAGAATGATGCCGTTGACTATTGAGGCGCGATAGTTACCCTCAAAAGCTATGGAGCATACATTTCAGGAAGCAGCTGCTCACCAACACACAGGGGAACCGAGGGACAAAGAGTTCAGGTGACATAAGTAGCGTTCCATGTTATCCTTGTGGAGACTAGTTTTTCTGATAGTAGAAACATTCACGTAGTGCATGTGTTAAAGCACATCATTGCATCACGATTGTACATCAGCGATGGCGGCCCAAGGGCCAAGAAACGAGGAGGGGTCTCTCATCTACTTCTGTTGGAAGCACGTACGAATGCGCATGCGCACTGATCGCATATAATGCTGAAGGCAGTCAACCGATCCAAGACAGCCGCATGCGTGAATGGAAATCGAACGGTCGACTGGGACATATAAATGGCCATTTTTGACCGTCTGTGACAACGTATAGCTTAACGTTTTTCCAGCTTTTTTTGCCTTTAAGTAGACCGCCGGTTCATAGCCTTGGCCTTCTCTATCAAAATCGAGCTTTACGAGGATACAACATTTCCAAAACTGCTTCGGGATTAAATTGTATTTGTACTCAAAATAATGATATATGGCGCACGATGATTAGAAAGAAGTGATCTAGGCGGAGGGGATATTTGAAGTCGGTCCAATCATATGTTCATGTAGTTCTCCATATCCACAGTATACAGGGATACCGAGATGGTACCTTTTAGTCGCACCTTGTTCTCATCTTTCGGTTTAGTGTAGAGATTTATGTCAAAATCACCGCTCCCCGTTGATTCGGGTGCGTTTATTATGCCCTCTCCGAGAAACTCATCCGCTCCAATCGCTCGCTTGTCAAAGACCTGAAGGAATGTGATCAAAGTAATAGAGTGAGAATTCTCATTACCTAGTAGAATTGTACTTCAACTGTGCAACGCTTTCAGTCTCCGTGATTTCAGGTACAACTTCTTGGTACTGTTAGTGCCTTGTCCATATCTATGGTTCTTCAACTCTTCCGTAAGCTAATACTGAATCCCCCATTCTGGCATGCCTGTTTACATCCTCAAAGATGACCCAAACCATTGTACTGGTGACGACAGTGATAAAGTGATCCAATTAACTTACAATCGCACTTTCCTTGACCAGCTGAACGCCACGGAAGGAATGGCGTCGATTTCCGGCTGACTATCAGTTTCAAATTTCCCAAAATAAACACTAGTGGTGGAATACTACCCCCAAACTAATCAAAATCAACCCTAAAGAAACAATTACCATGGCTTTAAAAGAACGATGTATGTCGTTAGTCTAGAACGGGATACTTCCACTTCTAATGTAAAAATTTTACTACGCAAAGCAATCAGCACATGAAATTTCAGCACTGCAGAAAAACCAGTAAGCCTGTAGCACTAGCGTTCAGATTGATCCCTTTCAAAACAGTTTACCGTACAGAGGACAATATACTGAGGAAATAAAACTAATTCCATAGCATTCTCGTGATGATAATTTTTTCGTACCATCTTTGATCCTTACTAGCTGCTGATTTATTATTCACAGAAAGACATGGCGACCTAAGCAGAGGGATGACCACGAAGAGTGCCGATGATGACACTTAAAGGAGAGGCTATTTGATAGTGGTATTTGGTTAAATCTACATTCAACAATGGGGTGCCTATCCTACTGACCCCCCTCAGCCCTTCTCTAAATGAGTAGTTAAAGTACTGGTAAACCTCATCCCATGCTGGCATGCGTCACATTGGGGCTTCCTTCAGGCATGGCACAGAGCACAATCCTACCTCAATTTTGATGGGTTGCTTATTGGGCTTGGCACGATAGAAAATGAAGGCTTCGTTCCACACAGGATTGTTATTGTTCCGCACCACACGACTATTACAGCTGCTCCCCTCGCAGCTAATTCGGCAGTAGGGAGAGGAGGAGGAAGTCGAGCCAAAGCTTCGAAGCTTGAGGCTGGCTAGATTGGCCCCATATAACAATCTAACCCGCGTGATTATCACTGGGGTGCCTGTGAAGATGGCGAAGACACCTCGCTGAGGCTGGTCATAGACTAGCTCCCTGAAAGGCATGATAACATGAAGAATCGTCCAATTGCCCTCAATTCCGGTTTCGCATTTAGAGAGATGGAAGAGAAGACTTCACGCTTGGAGATAGAGGAATACCACTTTGTTGCTATCACTAGACCTCGGTTCGAGGAACTCCCGCAAAAACCGAAACACTAATGCCACAAATCGCCACCATGAGGGAAGACCTCGTAAGAATAATCCTTTTCATTAAAAGAAAGACCATGACATCTAGATGAATCGCTTATTACCAGATATTCATTGGTATAGTGAAGCATGAGCACTTTCAGAGCGTCCCTTTTCGGAAAATCAACGTCTCAGTTCTACTACTTGGGGAAAAGACACACCGGCAACTAAATGCAGAAATTGTCTGCCAATATTTCGAAAGCACCTAACCTCTTAACTCAGCCACTTAGGCCCACTGAGGAGACAACAAGGAGGAAGACGCACTTATTGAGGAGATTGCGAGGCAGGAAAATGCGGAGATAGTAGTCGGCCTCCTGCTGGGGTTCCTGCAGGAAGGGCACCAGGGTGTAGCGTCCCCGAGCCAAGGAGTAGCGGCCAAACACCGCACGGTGCCTCTTCGCTGCGTGCACGCCCACCACGGTACACATCGACAACAAGTGCGCCCGCACGTCTCTGTTGCTCTCCACCTGCAATCGGTGAATGGAGGCTTTGAAGGTAGTTATGAGATTTTTCTCTCCACTTCTATAGACCGGTCATTATGCAAAAAATAAATCCTTGATTTAGCTCTGCATTTTGAGAGTTAATATTAGCTCGCACAGCGTCACAGGCTACAACATTAAAACAGCCGAGGAAGTCTTTATGCATCAATCCAGCTTACCCTTCGGCTGTTAGATTTCAGTCTATACTATGGATTAGAAATCAACATATCAGAAGTTATGCCTTGATTAGCCTTTTTCATAACTTCAAGGGTGTTTCATCATTTCCACGTATGAAATGTTTTGATTTTATCGTGTACTAAGCTTGTAAGCAACTAGAAGTGGGGTTGATCTTTTCTTATTTCTCGGTTATTACAAAGCCGCCCCATTGTTAATCTTCAATTTCTCCAAATCAGAGTCGTTGAGCCCTTTTGTGAAAAAAAGTGGGTCAAAAGCTACTGCATTCTTCGAGCAAAATCAATGAAGTAGCCGACAGGAAATGGAATGCATGATTGCGCCGCAAAATTGGTGTGTATGCGTAAATTTGGATGCTTTTAAATTCCCATCTGGATGAGTATGAATAATTAAGGGGAAGACACAGGGTGATTCCATTATTAGACGTGTTGGCCTTAACCTTAAGGTGACCTTTGGCACATTTAAAGGCCACCTAGACGTAGAATTGGTCGATTAGAAGACTTGGACGAGAGCGCGAGTTTCGAGATGTTCTAAAGTTATCAGGAATTCGACACAGAAACAGAAGCATTTTTGAAATTGCAGACATTTCCGCCAGGTTGACGCAAGCGTCGTCGATGGTTTCGGCTGGTTCCGTTATTGTAGAAAATCTGATAGGGAATATTTATTTTGATTTTCCAGACTATAAGACGGAATAAACGATAGCGAAAAGGACGTGAAGCAGCGCATGGGCCTCTTTTTCATTAAAAACCTTCACGCATTTGGTAAAAGTGTTCTTAGTTAACGCGTTGGTAATGATAAAGAATCGGATTTTCATGGCTAAAGGCAAAGAAGAGATCAAGGGATTCGGTAAGAATGCTCAGCTCAGTATATCAGGATGGACACCAACTTGTTATAAAAGGGACAAGCCCAAAGCCAGAGTAGTTGTAACAAACATAGGCATTTCAAACTACGCGCAAACTTTCGGCATTGTTTGGAATGCCAAGGAAAAGCATAACAAGAATCAACAACAACAATAAAACAATGAGTCGACTTCAGGCAAGAGTTTGTTAGACATTACAACCTAAGAGCCATTCCTACCGACATATATTCAAACCTTTTGGTGCAACAGGGTCCGTTAAGTTTTTTTCAGCTTTGCTTGGCACAACTGGACAAAGTTACGTTAACTACCCGAAATGATTGCCTACGGAGAAAACACGATCGTCGGTTTCATGATTCAATGCTACATCTCCAATATCTATTATTACCTTATGAGGCTATGCCATTCTCTGACAACGAACGAGGAAGAAAACTTGGAACTGAGATAGTTTGAATTTCGTCTAAACACATATAAACAACGCTCCTCAAATAAACATAGTAGCTCGATTTAAAGCCCGATTATGTATTAGCTAGGCCTTTCAGCAAAGACTGATACGTAATCTGCATTCCATAAAGGGTCAAAAAAACACTTAATTTTGTAAAATTGAATGCCTGTTTAGCGCTTTGTTTCGGTTACATGGGTATTGAAGGGCTCCACCATTGTACTTCAGCTCAGCGGTATGGCCTTCGGGCCATCCCAGTAGCCTCTCAGCTCTACTGAAAGACTCGAGACGCTACAGATATGAGAAATACCCATCACAGAGATTTCACTATCTTCCACTCTCCAAGACTCTTCAGTACTAACCAGTCAACAAGGCTTACCTTTGATGAGTAGCAAAACTTAATACCGATGAAATTTTAAATGACCGCGTTAATTATTACGGGTATTTCGAGATTAAAAATATCCCATTCGATAAGTTGACAGAATTGTCGGAACCATTATAAGTGATTGCATTCAGAACATCCGCGTTTAGCGATGCGTTGAGCGCATGGAGTGTACAGGAACAAATAAAGGTCAGGTAGACCTTTTGTTTCCATACGGAGGGGCAAAATTTAAAAGATGCAGGTAAAAATATACCACTTGTTGCAAACTCAAATTATGACCTTAGGGTACTTAAAACACTTTTTCTGGGAAATGACACAAATAACGCAAACATGAACTAGTCAGGGCGTACTGCAGTTGATATCCATGCCATCAACAAGTTGAGATTAAAATATAAAGGGAACTCAAAACCAAAAATATACAATTTTGACAGTAGACGGTAGATGGATCTCGTTTTATCCATTGGCCTATTGAAACCATGAACATTTCCCAGCTTTACCAAATTATGGGATCACCCGAAAACTTCATGATGTTTGCTGCAATGAAATTCAACCACCTGGAGAATAACTCTAAATAATTTATGTGACAAAATAATGGCCAATGCAGTCTACACTCAAATCCTAGTTTGTCCCTATGAGCGAAAAAGCTAGCTCTAGCCACGTCCACTTATATCTCAATTGCATTCCCTATCTGTTGCAAGTCTCACCTTTTCAAATGTAATACAAGATCTTCTGAGGTTTGAAAATTGAGGTAAATTCAATTCACAATGCAAATAAGTGCAAATCGCAGCCATTTGATTCAAATGAAATTTGGCGCTCTAAACATTTAAACTACAAAGGTTCCTGTGAGTTACAAGACATCGTTGTGATGAGCTATACCGACAATCACACCAACTTTTGGGTCACCTGATAAACGAGTCAACGTAAGTCGCCTTTCATTTATTTTATTTATTTACTTTATTATTTCAAGTATAAACCCAATGACCAGGCAGCATTAAATGGTCAGTACTTCCGCGAGTAACACAAAAAATACACTACATCAAGTAATTCATTTGTGGCCTTAGAAATGTTGAGTAAATGAGACGCGAGTGAGTGGAAAGATTTCTATGCCACGGATGCTCCGTTAGTGCTTGTATGGATACGCGGGTATCGAAGATCTCTACTATGGGTCACATAAATCCGAGAACAACCCAAGTAGGCAGCAGGGTAGTGTCAAACCAATAAATGATCAACAAGAAGTCAAATGACGAGAAAATAAGTAATCAACTAATCATCAGTGAAGGCAGTCACTAACTCTGCTAGAATCTCAGTACACCACTTCAGCAACTATGAGCAGATTTTTTAAACTCCTTTGAAGTTACCAAGATACAAGAGTTTCAGAAGAACCAATTGAAACACCTTTGCGTAAAAATGAAATTGCCTGGCCTTATCTAAAAAGGCGCTATTGAAATAAACAATGGCCGCAATGGATCTCTGGCTGCATACGGTAAGATGATGATCACCAAGCGTGAGCATGTCTAAAGAGGATTTTGGACTCACTTCGAGCAGAGCAAAGCCAATCGCGGGAGGCGAGGTCTCCTCAATAATGGTCTGTCCCTTCAAATCCCAGGTGTACTTCCGATTCAACGAAACCAGCACCTCCTCGGGAGTGTCTTTGGTCATTTCGAACATGTACTGCAAGTAATTGCCAAAAGATCAAATTATTCTCCCCTGGTGTTAGTCACTGAAGGAACGTTCACACTTTACCCAAACCCACTAAGTAAAATCTCTAAGAAAATCTAGCTGCATTTGGTAATTATAGTAGATACAGAAAATTCAACTTTTGTGCTTTTGAACAAATGTGGAATTGAGTCGTATAATACAATTTCGTGTATTATTCTGTTGCCTATTCAGCTACCTACTATTTCATGGCAAGCTAACAGTTGTACTCCAAATTTAGGAAAGATGATCAACGTACGGAGTCATTTTGACACCAGAAATGGCACGATCATATGTTCATGGCTATACAGAGTCATGGGAATCACAGATGAGAAGACAGTAGAAGAAGGGTTATCAGTGTTCCAGTCTTGAAAATGGGAGGGCAAAAGTGTTACTTCCAAATACGATGGTCTTCCTATGGTCTCCGATTGTCAAATCGCCCCGTACCCTCCCCTTTTACCACCTAATTAGCTTACTTTAGCCTTTGGAAAGTTTATTTTTCGTAAAAATATCGTCGGACAACTGGAGTTTGCTTTCAATTTCCAAGGCGGATCTTTGAAGAGTGAAGGAGAAATTAACAGGTTCTTATTGTTGAAAGCATAAAAGCATACCATAATTTTTGCGGAATTCATATTGTAAGGGGTCACGGGAAGATTTAACTAATATTTGCTTATGAATGCCCCTCCCATAAAGAAGTTTTCAACGCTAATTTTAGCCAATTAACAGCTGAGTGACTTCATGAACCGTGCATAATAAGTTGATCATCAACATCTGCATGTGTAAGTAAAGAGACTGTGTACAAAATCGCGTACTGAATGCATCGGTTGTACACTAACGGGACTTTTTTCACAGGAAGACAAGCAGCCCAACCTCTGTTTTTTCTCATTTTTTTCGGTTCGTCACGTAGACAAGGTGTGACATCTATCAAACGGTCATTCTAAGACTCAAGCCTTCTTAAATGTCTCCAGGCTACGCTTGGTAGCCTAGCTTTCCCTAATTTAACTTCAGCCCACTTCAAAGCAAGTTCACAGCACCAAGATGTCAAGCCTAATGTTGAAACGAATGAAACCTCTAGACAAATGCTCGCGGTCGTCGTTACAGAAACTTAACCGAAGTGGAGTCGTTTGTTGTATGGAGACAAAGAATAGTGTTGCAAATTTTTCTGAAGCAACTTCTCCACCTTCATGTGCATTGTAAAACACTTTGATAAAGGTTCCACGGAGAAGCAGACTCAGGAATCCTTTCCAGCTGGAATATGAATAGGTAAAACGCTAAAGGCTAAGATCTGTATTATGTAAATAGGTAAAGTAGCTTTAAAAAATGACAAATTTGCCACACGAGCCTTTCGGTGCAGTGGTGGTTTTAAGAGGGAAGTTTAAGTAAAACCTGAAGCTTCAACTCTCCATCCCCACTGACGTAGTAAAATACGCAATAAATGAAAAATTTTTTCCCATCACACAAAGACGATCATGTTTCTATCACCGAAGACTTAATTTCTGAGTGAGTTCTACTAGCACAGGTTCCTAAAAGAGTACCTCCAGGGTCAGCTGCTTCGGTAGAGTGGCGGAATGCATACCATGAAGTCTAGTGGCTGGTCGTGGCTAAATGCTGAAATAAGTGCATAAAAGCAGCAGAGGAACATGTGGAAAGTAACTTTATTTCTTATTACCTCATGTGTGTTTTTTACAAACTCAAAAGTTCCACTTCCGCCCAAACTCAAAATGTACTTCAAATAAATGCGTAGTACCTGTGGATTTTGAAGGAAGGAGCTGCGAAACTCCAGACCGCCACCACTATTCTCGGCACGCCAGATGCCATTGTAGCCGGCCAGGGTCCAGGACCCGAAAGGACCCGTCTTGGGTAGACGAGCTATAATGGCGCCCGTGAAGTACTTCACCATCGCTGAGAGCGGTATCCAAAACTCTGCCTCTGTGGAGACCACCAGACCAATGCGGGATCGGTCGCGGACACTCAGGTCCTCCCACTCCTGAAATGTGGGAGTGAGATCAGTAATAGTTGACAGTGCTGACAGTCGCTATGCGCTGCTTTGAGAATGACAACCACAACTTTATTAGTTGTAAAGACGTACTAGGTGGTTGTCAAAAGGTAGACCATTCAAAAAACATAAGCAGTCCAAATTAAAACGAATTCTTGCTTCATTTTCTGATTTCGCAAGATTATGACAGGCCAAGATTAAATTACTCCAGTGCATCTGAAACAGAGGTGGAACCAAGTTTACCGTATACATCTGCAGTCTAATAGGAATGACTAATAATTCGAAAAAAACGGAAAGCTTTGCGATTAGCGCAGTGAAATCACTTTATCGAGTCGGTGCGATTCTCACTGATGTCTAAGTGCCATTTCTTCTGGTAGCAATAACCACTTACACTGTATGTACTATTGGTTACTGCAATTTTCAGGGAGTCAGTTTTGGTTACAAAATTAAAGCACAGTCAACTTTGAATGGTACAAAAAAAATATTGGCACAGGAGAGATTAACATATTGTAAAACAGGGCCAGGAAGTTTTGTCAACCCCTATCAATGCAAGCCATACGACTACTGCTTACCATTCCAACAGCCCTTGTACCCCTAAAGATTTGTCAGCCTGGCATGAGGATTACTGCGGGACTTGTGCTTGGACTACACTAGAAAGAGTCGAGATTACATTGTACGTTGAAGGTAAAAAAAATTGTCTTTTCAGGTTTACTCAGCGTAAAGATAAGATTCTTCATTGAAAAGTTGTTTGAATGGATCAAAGAATTCGGAAATATTTGCATCGCTGTTATGGACGCTGAGCATTACGCACATCCGAGTAGCTAACACTATGACCACAAATGATTAAAAAGCATGATTTCGGTTGTGAGTTGTGGAAACTAATTGATGATAATTAAGAGGGCCGCAAAAAAAACGAAATACGAGTGAGGTATCAACCAAACCTCTAATTTCTGACAGTCTCAAGTAAAATTTGGGATCTAAAATAATAGATCCTCTTGGACGCAGACTATGATATAGGTTGTGGAGTGTGATGGTTCTATTCAAAATATGAGTGCAATAAAGGCACCAAGGCGACAGTTTTCGTCACTGGAGGGCAACATGTGGTTGTGCATAGTAATAACCGGCTTTAAGTTTCAAGGCCCCCACATAACATCTTTCCCAAATAGGTCCCACACCCCCATTATTTCGGTTCTTTATCAGACTGTCATAACATTACTTGACATATCAAACAACTCCACCTAATATTAGTCTGAAGTTAACGTGGTGAAAATTTAAATTAAAAATGGAGAGTGCTCTTAAGGTCACCTGTCAAATTTTTGGAAGAGAGAACTTGTTGGTACAACCGTCATGATTATTTCACGTTAACAGATAAAAAAAGCTAGTCAAGTTTCAATATTATAAAATTTGATGAATGCTCCATTCCCTGAAGGAAGGCTAGGGCACTAAGGGGTATACGAGGGTAACCGAATTTCTCGCCATAAACTTACTTCTCAAATCACGTGAGAGGCATGTCAGACTGTAGCATCAACTACATATTGCAATGCAGCTACGCTGTCACATTAGGGGTACTTCACAGTCATGATGCCAAAAAGGGCCTTTTATCATCACACTTATCTTCAACTTCAAAGAAGCTTAGTGCTCAAAAAAACTCGAAAAAGGTAAATTTAGATGTTTACGTTAGAGGAATAAAAAATTAACTCGAAATGCTAAATTATTTCCAATTTATTAGGAAAACGGAATATGAAATCACGATCGAGCAGTTTGGAGAAAGTAACATCTGAGTAGTAATTCATACGGACGATTTGCTATCTACAAAAGGTTCTCAATCGCATACATACATTGACCTCAAGCGTTCTCCGATGCTTCAATCAGCTAGAGAAGAAATAAGTATAACCCATTGAATGATTGCATATTGAGTCGGAAAATAAAACAAACACCAAGTAAGAAACACGTCATCGCATTCATTCACCTCACCAACATACCTGGGTGTGTGAGCTTTTAAAGTGAACATGGATGTGGCCTACACAGTTACTTCAAATGGACATAAAACGCAGAAAACCTAGTACTGCCACGCGTTTAGCCACGCTAAACAAGCTTGTACAATATAATCTACATCGATAGCTCTATCCGTAGCAAGGGTGTTAAAGTGTAGTGACAAACCAGTCACACCAAAATGGCACCATTGAATGCAAGGAAGGGAGTATACTTCAACATTTGTTAGTAAATTAGACGAATAAGCTGAAACGCGTCAGCGGCCTTATCACAATTTTGGCCTGCACAGAAATGAGAAAAATTGCAAGCGTTTAGATATCTGCAACTCCTTTGAATAAACCTCAGAGCATTGTCGTGCTTTTGAGGTATTTCATAGGCCTTCGTTTAAATGTTTGCATTAACATTCTTTAACCCGAAGAGGACTCTGAAATTTTGAAAAAATAATCCGGCAGGGACAATCTTGAAGGTGGCTGGAACCTCCAAATATTAAAAAAGCATATCCATCCAAACAAGTTTACTATAACATCAAATTACCATCAGGGGAGGTAGGTTTTTTTGAGAACGATGGAGACTATGCGAAATCTCAAAATTACAGAAAATTAAACTAATTTCCCGGTCTAATTACTTATAACGGCAGGTTTCGAAGTTACTTCCAACGAAGCCAAGGAACGGGGACAGAAATACGGAGGGGGGTTAAAAGTACATTATTCAGCTGGTCAACCAGGGAAAAGTAGCAAAAAACAGAGTTGAGTTGGAGAGTAATTGCGGCGAGAATCGATAGGCCAATGACGAAATTGTGTGACACAAAATATGTTGCATGCATGAATGTACAAGGTGCCACTCGAATGTTGGAAAAGAGGCATTGTACTCTGGTAGATTTTAAAAATGCAAGCATAGTAATTTGGGCCAAGTAAATGTCGCGTAAATACCTGAGAACCCTCCGAGTAGGCACCTTTCCATTCACCAAAGCTTGTTGCCTTGGAGTGGACTGTGAGAACCGAGCGTAAGCGCAGTAAACGGTCCTTGGGAGCATCTTGGGTAATTCTGAGGGCCGAAAGCACGGCTCCCATGGCGCTGGGATCCCGTGGTACGAGGCAAGTTTTTGTTAGCATGTACGCATAGTTTGAACAGAGTCCGGAAACTTGATCTATCGTGCCCAGACGCCTTGGTGCACACATCACATCAAAACAGTCTTCATCCTGATCGGCTGTAGTGATTTCCTTGTCCTTTGGGGCACCTTCTTCTGAGTCAGTACTAAAGTTACTCTAGAAAAAAAGCATACGAAAGGGACAGGGTATGTGCGCCTACCTTGGTACACAAAAGAATAATAGCACCGTCAGATAAAGCCTGTTCAAGTGCCTCAAACATTTCAATACGGTGAAGTTCATTACTGCTTGACAAATCATGAAATGTTAAAACATCAAGAACACAGCCTGTGAGATCCTGTAATGCATCCTCAAGACGCAAGTTATCCAGACGATCGTAACCTCCAAGCAATCTGTGATAGAGCATCGCAAAAGACAAATTCTTTGAAAAACTCACCCCATAAACAACCAGTAATAGTTGCGATGAAGCACACTAAAGCTTACTTGGCGTAGGCTTTCGCAAGAATGGACGGCCAAAATTCATTTGGATTGGAAGAGTGGGGACAAATAAATTTACCATTAATCATTGGCAGTAAATCATCCACAACTACAAAAGTACATGCACCGTCTATCCAAAAGCAGACTCGAAATGCCCCAGAGTAAGCGCTGGCGTTATTGAAATTGTTTTGTGCTTTAAGGTCAGGGAATAACTACATAAATATGAGCAATCTACATTTAACGACCATACATTTTCCAGTAGTTTAGGGCGCTCCGCGATTAAAGACATGGAGAGTATTGCATTGATATTGGATAAAGATCCGAGACAAATCGCACCAGGAGGACCATCCGCTTTGAGAACTGCAGTTTCGCAAGTATCCCGGGGTCGCTTGAATTCTGGCGGTGATAAGCTGCTTCCAACTAACGATTCTAAATTCGATTGCTTGTTCGAAAACTTTTCATCTTCAAAAAGAATGCCCCTGCTTAAATGCCCAGTTTTAATTTTGCTATATTCCTCATTGTTGAAGTTTACTGTACGCATTAAGCAGCTAGTCAATTGGATGAGTCGAAGACGCAGGGCAGCTTTACTCAACCTTGACCTCAAGTGGTGGGAAAGTGAAAACAAATTGTGCTAAAGGGTTTTTGCTTCTTAAATAGTGAACCAAGAACATTTTTGACCCACAAAAATTCATTTTCGGATAACGCTACCAAGGCTAGACAGTTAGTTAATTACCTTGGAAAATTAAGCGCTTTCGTACGATCTAATGGACAAAACACTTCTTTGAATAATTAAGGAATTAGTGTCAAAAACACGCATTTTCTATGTTTACTAAACTATTTCAGAATTCTGTGACTACTGCGAGCAGGCATAACACATTATTTTAGAGAATGAATGACCCACTAAGAATTATAGAGCGCATGTACAAGTAAAAATCACTAGACCTCTACAGAATATTTATTTTGCCTATAGTTAGTTACAAATTCAGGCAGACTATAAAGACATAGCAAGTGCAGAATCAAGCAACTTAAGGCGGCAATGGTCATCAAATCCCGACGGAAATAGCGGATCCGTAGAGTAAATATCTTTACTTCTGACTAATCATTTGCGTATGCCAGGTAATAGGTAATGTTTGCCAAAATTGTTCTACAGAAGGCATCCTAAAATTTCGAATGTGCAGCATCATTTGGTTTCTTGGGGCCTTAAGAACCCTTATCCGTCAAGAGGACGCATGATTGTTTTCGTACGCTTTTTGGACCTAGATACACGAATAAACAAAGTATTAAAGCTGTCACAAATGTTTTTTAACTGCTAACAAATAATTGCGTTCATAATGTACGCATGCACTACTAAAGATTTTATTATAGAACAACGCTGCCATAATTAATTATTGAAGGGCACCTTATAGATTCTTCTAAATGCAAGCGCAGTTAGCGTAATGATCGTAAAGTGTAGAGGGCTATATGGTCAACAGCCAGTGAATGACAACAAGATAGATGAGAGCTCTCCCATTTTCCATGCTTTGATTAGTATAGGCGTGCCTTACGCCAAAAACATAGTTGGGCCTCGCTGCAACCCGTAAGCTTTCCCTTTCGAAGCATTACACTGATTTAGGCAAGTTCGATTAAATTTGCCTGTTTTCTGCTCTCCATTGTCTTTCAATTTTTTTAATATGCCTCCCATTTTTTGACCTCCTCATTTTGCACAACCGTCGACTATGGCGCATCACGAGATAAATTTTCAAACTCATCTCACTTTTTAAAATGTCAAACTATTTTGTAAATTTCGCAATCTTTATTATGCTTGTTTTGTGATACTTGATGCTGACTGCTTATTGGTTTATTTATCAGTTACTTGAGGGGTCGCAGGCAAGTTTCGCTGCCTGTTAGGGGTCACTTCTTCTACGATGTCGTTTCGGGCGCCCAAACGTCGGCACGCGAAGTCTACACGTTTTATTAAGGATTCAGATTCCGAGGATGAAGGTCAAGCCACCTTAACAGACTTGAAAAACAATACTTCATCCAATCTTTCAGTAGAGGAGGCAGTAGAGTGTATAAGGACATGGCAGAACTTCCGTAAACGACGCTCTGGCGTCAGTGCGGAGTCTCTCTTTGTTGGGAAAAAGATAGAACCAGAAGTTCTCATAGAAGACGATCCATTTAAAATGAAAACGGGTGGTCTGGTTGATATGAGGGGCGCTTTTCGTAAGCCAATGAAGGAGGAGTTCGAGGACGTGGTTAGACTTTCCAGAACATTTACTGCGGAAACCAATAAAAGAGACGAGGATGCTGATATGTCAGTTCTCGTCCTACGTTTCTCGCTTTCTATCTTGTTACAGCATTGGTGCTAACGTGTTGTTACTTGTAGGTTAAAATACATCGAAACGGAATTGGCGAAACGAAAAGGAATCACAAAGACTGAAGCAGAAGCCCCCAAGTATGTAGTATGGTCTCTTCAAGCGTCACCATACATATATGCGAAATCCTGTTTCAACATTAAACATTTAAAGTCCAATTGCAACCTTACTTTTTATGGTAGGACTCAAGGTAAAACATTACTTCCCTTTTTACCACTGTGAACCCTGTCCGTTAATGTTCTTTGAACCTGTTTTTCTCCTATTTTGGTAGTTTTTAAAATCTACCACAATTTTTCATGCATTGATGACTCCAATTCCGAGCATTCTTGTTTCGCCATTCCTTATCATTCCAGCAGTTTTTCAAGTCTTTTATTTCATGAAACTGGGTTTGTTTTGCAGGATGTTTTGTATTGAACACACGTAATTTTAAATACCTATTGTAAAGTTTTACGGAATTCTCCACTGTGATCTACTTTGGGGCCTTTGGTAATTTGATGTATTCGTAGGCTTTTTCTAAATTGAGCTTGACTAAAATGCTTTGAGAAAATAGCTTTAAGAATTCTCTTCAAGTTGTCGTAAATTTTGCTTTATCTGCTGAAACTGCCCCTCTTTTGATGCCACTGAAGCCTTCTAGAAAAAAATCGCCACACGCTTTTGTTCCATTAAGAACTGTGATCGACAATATTCTCTCGGAGATTCCCGAGGCCCTGAAACCCAAGATGGGTCAACACTCAGAGGATATGTTGTCAAACCAGATGCTTTGTGGCATCCCCGAGGTCGACCTCGGCGTGGAGTCTAAGATGCGCAACATTGAGGCCACGGAGGAGGCCAAACAACGTCTGCTGAAGGAGCGCCTTACCCAACGCCAGAAAAAATCCTCCGACGACTTGGCCCCTTTCAACATGTCTGTCAACTTCGTCCAGCACAGTCGATGGAGTGAGTCCCTTCCTGCTTTTATTTTGTCAGTAGCTTGAATTTTTAATTACAGGGAAGCTATTCTAAGGCAAATATGCTCGAGATGAAATGCCGTTACTTAGTTAAAAATATGGTGGAAAATGGATAATTATCTCAACAGAAGTGAATTACTTGCCTTTATTACGCTCTAATGGTGTAGCTTTCCAGCTTGTGAAATCTTTTTGTGGCGACTCTTCTACTGATTTTTCGATGGAAGATCACGCTGGAAGACGTCAGGCGCCATGTTATCTTACGGTGGAATCTGACACTTTATTCAATCGTCTTACCACTTCTTTCCAACTTTTAATATCCACTTCCCATGGCATCATTTTGTTTCCTCCGTCTGGTGTTGCCTTAGAGGTTACCGCGCTTATTACGCCTGCCTCGCCTTTACTCTGTACGCCTGTTTTACTAGGTCTCCGTCATTTAATATTAAATTCTCATTCCATTTTTGTGATCTACATGCTTTGAATTCCTGCTACTTTCTGTTAATCAATGGTTTTTTCTTCGTAGATAAAAGCTTCAGCAGCCAGGATTTTTTTCCTTCCTTAATAGCTTATTCTTCCTGATGAGTTTCTTTTATTGCTTTCTGACGAGTAAAAGTTTCATACTTCACCTTATACAATAAAACGAAAAAAGCATTTTGGAAAGCTGTTTAGCTCCTAACAGAAGCATTTTAAACCATGCATTTATTGGATTCCTTACCATGATTTTACATTATAGGAACGTTGGAGTTTTTTGTTACATTGTTTTATTTTGAACTAATTTGGTGTTCGTTCAACTACTCGAGCATTCACTTCTGTAGCGCACTACCACCAGGCAGAGGTTAAACTTCTTCATTCAGAAATAGTTTGTAAAACATTCATTTTCATTTGCTAGTTTAAGAATTTAACTACTGTACCTCAAACGTAGTTATTTCTGGATGGAGTCAACGTAAAAAAACTGTCCAATCTAGTGAATATTTCAAAAGCGCTAGTAACGCTATCGTTAATCTTATTTCGAACCTCGCTCTGCTCTGCTGTTGAGAATACATTCCATTTGCAGCTAAAAGAAAGGGAATGACGGCAGTGCTTACCTAAACTCGGGGTGATAAATCGACTGCATTTAGAGCGCCCCATCTTTTCGGTGAAGCTATGTTCACTTGTTTCCTTTCCTTGGGATTGCACAATTCAATTAAGGACTACTTTGGTACTCTACTTTAGCGGCAATATCTTTACCTTTCAGTATTCCCCTGAATGCTTTGTATTTCGTATTAAAGTAAATACCTGAGCTTTTAAGTTTGTTAACGGTGAGAGCACATTCTAAGGAGTCTAAACTGTAGTTTTGAAATGTAGCGGAATCATTTGCTACATCTCCTTGCTTAACTTTCAACTAATACCTGGAAGACAACTTCTGCTTGGAAAAATTTGTCACTGCCCCTCATGCGGTGGTATCCTTTTTATATGCTAAATTGCGTGCCCGTCTTATGTGCACCAGAAGGATATTATGATGTTAATTTTTTTTTCATATTCCCCAAATCGGCTAAAATGCAAGATTTTGCTGTATCAGATTTAGGTCAGATTTGGCCATTAAAAACTAGTTTTAACCAGGTTTTTGTTTCTATAAAAGGCGAGTAAAATGTGTTACATGCTTTATGTCATAGATACCATACCGTGCAATTGTCACTTGGCACTACTTTAACATAATGTCATTTATTAGCTCCCTTTAGGAGCTACCTTCAGAAATTTTGCGAGGCTGTCTGAATTTAATTCATTTTTCCAACTTGTACAGTAATTTTGCTCTTAAGATTTTTTGGTCGTCAAAGTTGTTTTGAGTCACTTTGACAGCGAATGGACTCTGAAAAGGTGGTATTTGTAACGCGTGATTGCGAGATCTTCATGAACTTGCTTTGTGCGGTTAATATTACCCGAGTTTTCGAAATACGTTTGAGGTCAGATCATCTGAGTCTGGGGCATACTTTTGTGTATTTTCGTCACTGTCACAAGATCCTTATTTTTGAGTAAAACGTTGCAGCAAATGCGAAGAGTGAATAAATTTAAGCGAAAATTTTTTGAAATGATTTAGGTTTATATTTACTAGTCTACCACCTATGATATTTTTGCTGGGAGTTTATTCGGAGGAGTCCTCACTTGGCCTCACGCGATGTGCCTTTGCAAAACGCATCGTGGGGGTCTTGTTCTTCCGCCTTTTGATTGAAGTATCCGAAACAAAATGTTTTTCCTCTTCTAAAAAAATGCTCTTTCTGTTTGAGGTCTATAGCTTACTTCCGGTGGTTAAGATTCCTAAACAGGCTTAGCTAGCTCGGCATTTACTTTGCGCTTTAACTTATGGCATTAGTTCGTGATTACTTTATCTTAATAAAAGTAGTGACAAAGATTGTTTTCACTTTGATGGCCTCATGTTTTGGACCTAAAACCTATTTTTCATTGGATCACGTCGCATTGTCCCATGGCTCCTAAAATAACCCTACAGCCTATAATTTTGTTGTGGAAGAACAGGGGATTGGCATGGTTAGAGGCAAAATACGCGAGACTGAACGTCATCGCAACATTATGCAACGATTCAACGGAGCTGTTGTTATATAGTTTCGAACAAAAATCTGATAGAATTTGGTCGGATCGGCTGCATTAAGTCAAATATTCAAATTTTCAATAATGCGTTGGAAATACTTTGGGACTAAAACTAACTTTTCCTTCTTGCCAGTCTAATTTGAAGTTACGGAGACTGAGAGTGGGTGGACATGTCATCCACCATTCACTGTCATCCTCTACTTTTGTTCTTAGAGAGATAACTCTCAAGTATCCGTTCTCTTTATTCCCCCTTAATGACCTTCGTTTTCAGTCCGTGGGAACGTCTCAACTACTTAAAATAGCTTCACCTCTATGCGTTCTATTTCTTTCTCCTATTTGCTCTAGCACTTCCGAAATCGTGTTAAGTATCTCCCTTTTTCTATTATTCACATTAAAAGCTCGAGTCCAGTCAGTAAGTTAGCATACTCAATGAACGGTATGGAACTTTGTCCAGATCTTCTAAAGCCTATTTCTGAAGTCTCATTATTCGGTTTGCCCTTTCGGCGCAAAATTCGGGGAACAGCACTCTTATACTTACTTCTCCAATAGTTTGTTCTGGAAGCGAGTGAGTTAAAATGATAACAGAGTATGGTCCGCGTTTTGTGTCAACATTTCCAACGATGAGAAATCCACTTGCTAATTAAGTGTATGAAAATTTCTGGTTTGGTGATAATGTCCCGTTTTCTTTTAATTTTACGATTTGAGGAGTTCTGGCTTCGTTAGGCTAGCAACCTAGCGGATAGTACATTCTCATAACAGTTCACGTAGGTGCAGAATCTCACATTCAGTAATGGATATCTCAGATTCATGTCCCACTGAGCCTGTCTCTACTACGTTCTGGTACGTTGACGATGACTGAATCTGGTGATATATGTCCAAGTATCAAAGAGGATGCAGATTAACCTTTGTCTATTTAAGTCAACCTAGTACTGCATGTGACATCATTTTGAGCTTTCCACCATTATTGTACATTAATTTTTAAATTAGGTCAAGTAGATTATAGTATAAAGTGTGCAATGTTTTCGTTTAGAAAAGTGCGTTGTGGTTGCACATGTCATATCCAACTGCCAAACAACTGCTTCGTGACGCCGTCATTATAACTGGGGCAATTTTTTAGCGCCATCCGCTTTCCTTCATGTGCCTAAGGCATCTGACTTTGATGGATTTGTTAGTTGATGCCTTCTCTGGTATTTGAAATCGCTCATTTTCTGAAAGTTGCTTTAGATCTGGAATTTATAAAGGCACAAATAGGTTAAAATCTTAGTTCTTCATGAATGGCATTTCTGTCGTGGGTAACTTAGAGAAAAGCGATGATATGACCTCGATCGTAGGGTTGAGTATTCCCGCAATCTTCAGGCAACCTTATATTTGTCGTAGGTGAGCTAACTACTTGCCACCTGGACAACGGACCATGGTGGTGAAATGAGCCGAAAGCAAATGCAGCAGTGAAAACCGTGCATGAGTTAACAGTAGCCGAAGTGAAGTAACCCTAATGGCTAGAGGTAATGTTTGGAGCAGATGCATTATGGAAGGCCATTTCCTTTTTGATAGGCATTATGCCATCTTCAAGCCATAAACACGGTTCAGTCTTCGCCCATCAGGCTGCATATTGTTTTCAGTCATTATTTAGGTAGGATACAAGTCTGTATCATTGATAGATTAGGTGCTTGCTTTGAATCTTCTTTTAAGATAGCAGAATATAATAAGCTTGAAATGTAAGATCCGGTAAATCGCACAAAGAAACATACGCCTAAAATCTCATGCGTTTAATTTTTTCTTTCATTTGCTACTTGCTTTTCTACTTTATTTTTTCAAATCATTAGTTCGTTTATGTTTTCCTTCCTGTTTCTTTGTTGTTTCTGACCCACATAACAGGATCTTAATTTGCCAATTTTAAAATTGCGTTTATTCTTTAGTGATGGAAAAAACGATGGGGAACTTGGGAAAGAGGAGAGTGGTTTTAGTAAAACAAAAATGCTGAGTATACAGGCTGCTTCTCTGTTTGATTCAGAAGGTGATCTTTGTTATTTAGAAACAGGCCACAGCTGAGAATAAGGTGTATAGGCTGAAGGCAATTATTGTGTCATTCTGTTAGGTGTGATGATTTAAAGCCTTCTTTTGGCCGAGTTTTTTATTATCAATTCGATGAAGTGCCGAGAGTGAACTCATCCACGATATCAGTCATCTGATTGGCAGTCCAGTAGGTTCTTGCACCACAGAAAAAAACTGCTAAAGACGCTGTTAACATATCATCTACCATATTCACAAGGAAGCCCTCTAACTGATCTGCTGTTCGGTCTTCCATGTCTGGATCCTTGATCACCTGCAAACCTTTAAAACTAGTCACCTCTCGGATTCCATTAATACCATTTTACACCACCATATTCGCCAACCAGACTTATCAACAGCAGATAAAAATCGGTTGCTGTGACTCCAATATATCCAGAAAGTAGTTTATAGGGTTTGCGATATGCTTTGCTGCAATAACTCGTATCAGATTGCATGTGTTGTAAGGCATAGGCCGATACACGCCGCACTATGGGCATGATAATCTCTATTGCTTTTTTTACAATTTTTCCTTGCGTTGAACCCACCCTGTGTGCTTTACGAGTCGAATTGAACTCGCTTCCATAGTTGTAGCTCCGGAGGCTCCTCATGGCATTTGGGAAAAGGTGGGAGGTATGCGGTAATAAAATGAACCACCCAGAAACGGTTTAAGTTTTTTTTAATTCTCATGATCCACCACAGGATAATGATGGATAGCATTTTATTTTAAATCGCGGAGAAGTACATGCCCCACTTCATATGAAAACAATTTGACATTAACATATCGGTAACGACCGTCAATAACATTCGACATGAGTGACAGAAAAGTTGTTCTACTTCCATGTCATCTACCGTGGGAATGGGTCCAATGCACATGCAGTGCATCAACAGGGTTTAATAAGCTTTGACGATAATCTGTTTAGGTAAAAAATTGCCATTTTAGGTCGTTTGCTGGTTAGTTTTGTTATGAGGAATGGCTTTTGCATTGTAACATTAAGCAAGCGAACACATTGTCGGTTATTTCCAAACCTTCATGTATGTGTATATGCATTCGTTTGTGTGTGCGTGATGGGAACTGCGGACTCAATTTTTCACTAGGAATTGTTCCCTTCCCGAAGGTCAAACAAAAATTATTGTTAAGATTCATTCACTGGATGCAGTGCAACTCGAATGACTGCAGGAAAGCCTTATTTAGAAAGAGCCAAGACTACACTCGGCCTCGCACTGCATAGCGCAAAATTCACCCTTAAGCAGCCCTCCCAGCACACTTAGGGATGAGAGAGAGGAAGGGAAATTCTGCCTCGCCTCATCATTATTGCCCATATTTCTCACACTATTTTTTTAAGCGACGGTTACTACCCTTTCTTAGCATTGCTTCACATGATTACATTTGAAACGGAATGGAGGGTTATGGAGAAGGGGAGGGGATCGGGAATAGGTTGTTTGCTTTTGGAGATTAAGGGGTTTATAAAAGTGGAATTTGCCGCCAGTTCGTGTTTGATTGGGAGAGGATCAGTGGTCGTATCAGTGGTTAATTCCATAACGGCAATATTTTGAGAATCTTTCTCTGCTTATTTGAATTTGTTACAAATAACCACTCAAACTTATTCAGTCTGTTACAGAACTGTCCCGTCGATGGCCTGGGTAACATGATATAAAGAAATAGCATTAGACATTTCCTGCGTGATGGCCCTCATAAGCAAAACGAGTACTTTCTACCACTTTTTTAAGTTATTAAGCGCTAACTTGGCTTAATTGTTAGATCATTTTAATATTTCCACCGCTGTTTGGTCGTTATACACATAGGATTGCCATTTGTTGACCACCATACCACGATCTTAACTTACTCAGTTCCAAACTATGGTTATCATCCCAAGTGAGCTGAAGGAGGATTTCACTAAGGCTACGATTCTGCCCCTCCAGCTGCAGGTGACTTGCGCATGTGCCGCTGGGCCTTGGTCGCACACACCCTGGTGTCGATCAAAGGCACCACAAGTACACCACCAGGTGCATAACCCCTTACTACTTTCTACGACATAGCGCTTTTTGGGGACTAAAAGTAGAATTACTGAGGCCTCTCTGCTGCTTGGCAACTTTTATTCGTTTTCCTGCTGTGCGAGATGTGACCATCACCCCTGCGTGTGCGTTGTTAGTTTTTTATCAAACCATATCGCCACGCCTTTATGATGTGGCTGTTCCAACTGAAATGAGAGTCTTACAATCGTCTAGGTTTTTATGAGCTTTATATGCATTAAGCTTTTTAAACGTTTCACCTTTGATAACAAGTTCACAACATGGTAATTTTAAGTAGTTTGTAAAAACAATTGAAATCCCTTTAAATGAACACAGAGTTTTGATCTCAGAACTTGGTTACAGTAGTTTAGTCTTATTTGCACGTTTTTTGAACCGATAATCGGATATTTATGTCTGTTTTTGGTTCCATAACCCCATTTTGTTTTGTTAAATTACTCCAATTAGACACGGGAGCATTTCTGTTACCCGTCGAAGTTAAACTGGCTGCAAGTGTCTTTTTTAGGGGATGGAAAAAAAATCCGTTAAATTTAGAGGTGTGTGACCGGTGTTTTTTCCAAGGCATTTTCATGGTGTAAGTAATCAAATTACTTGTTCTATTTGAAAAGTGAATTTCAGAATTTTTGATGCGATGATTTAAATACTTGGCAAAAAAATCCAAATCCTTCCATTTTTTTGTGGTGTTTAATCAAAATATTGATGCTTGTAGTAGAATACTACAATTTACGTTGTTTGTACGGGATAATGCTCGAGCATTTTTTCGCCCACCCGTATCAAGTTTCTGCAAATGCTTGCATCAACCAGACACACCACATTTTTTCAATCTCTTTCAAAATAAAACAGCAATTTGTATGCAATAAAGTCGATAAATGGTACAGTCATCAGACCTATTTCAGCCCACCTTCTTTTCTGTCACTGCACGACGGCTTTCTCCTACTCACAAATATTTGTGCTTTGGCTTGGATAGATTCACTACGTTTTACTGATCATTTTATTGTACTGGAACACATTTGAACAGTTATGCTGGCTGATTTACCATAACTGTGAATCCGTTGCTCCATTCTTGCTAACGCAGTAGTGCGACCGGAGTACGCGGGTTTGGCGCTTTAGTGACTCGGAGGTGGAGTTCTGAGTGGGTGTATTTTCCACTTGCTCTGCAGATAACTACGTTGACCAGACGCTGCACCGCGAATTGACCGTCCAACTGAACGACAATCCCGACCGTCCAGATGTGCCCGAGATGCCGTCCATTGCAGATCCTCCCACTATAGAAGGTCAGTGATGAGACTCACTTTCCCCATTGAGTTTTTTTGAATTAAAAGGTTGGGAATGTGGTGTTTCATGATTTTTTTCTACTTTCTGCGTTTGACAGTCGAGACAGGTGATCAGGGCTTGCGTGTTGTTTGGTCTTTTGGCATCGCCGCAATATTTATTCTATTTTTGAATCTTCACTTTCTTTCGTATTACACTCTTGAAAAAATAAATCACTAGTTTGGTGATTTTCTACTTTAAGGGTGATTCTTGTTCGTTATTTGTTACTTTCTAGTCGAAAAACGACGATTACAGGCTGAGAAGTCTACAGATGCAAAGGTGCTTCAGCGCTACAAGAATTACATGCAGAACAAACGGGGAAGATGAACGTTTTTAATTTCAATATTCCAACTGTACATTTGCCGTATCTTTATATTTTTTAAAGAGAATGTTGCACTTTTAATCCAACTTTGGTTCAGAACTTCGTTTGGGCCATCTCGAGGTTGAAAACCCAAGTCTTATAATTTCTACACCCGATCGTTCGTCACTGCGACAGATATTTGTGCGCGCGTTCATGTGGGCGCCATCGATATGCTCCCCATGCCCCATTTCTGGGGTAGTATCTTTGTCTCCGTCGGCGTTGTTTAAAAATTTCCCACTAATAGTGGTTTTGTATCATAGCAGACGAAATTCTTTTGCCGATGAGCGTTGAGTGCATCTCTGTTACATCGGCGGTAAGGTTCTGTTACACGATTCTTAGTGCGATTTAGATAAATACCTAGTCGATACTTGGTGGGTAATGCTGGGGCTTTCACTGCTTCCCATCTGCGATGCATCTTCTTTCAGCTTTCCTTGATGCAAAATACTAATGGATGGACAGTACAGCTAGGATCTGCTTTTCATGCATTCAGAAAACTCTTCGCTGGTGATAGGAAAATTGCATATCTGCGGAGCGAATGCGACCGGAAAACTCAGACTATGGGCCAGATCATGTTGCCGAAGTCAGTGAGAGGGAAGGTTAAAGAATAGCAAGTAACTATCTGGAATCAATTTTAGTGGAAACAGTCTCATTGTCGATGTGAACTCGGTTGAGACTTAGATAAATTCAACACCACTGTTAATACATAAGTTGATTACGCAGGAAATTCCCCCCAGAAAGTCGGTTCCGTTTTCGTGCAAAACAAATGTTAAGTATATTAATTATTCATTTTTATCTGGCTGCGTTAGCTTAAGAAACAGCGGTATCAAAATCTTGTGTCTAGAGTCTTCAACTTGGTTAATTTGGTAAAGGGAGTGGAGTATTAGTGGCTTAGCTCATACAGAGCTGATATTTCGAGTCACCTGTGCTACTATACTACTTGATAATGTTAGGACTTTCGTTTACAATGTTGACCAGATTTCTGCAAAATTTTTAGGATCTTAAACGGCCTTTTGAAGTTAGGGCTCGTGATTAGAGAGGTAGTGAAACATCTCAACGGCCATGCCGGCGAATAATCCAAGCGGGGCGTGAGAGGCGTTGAAAGATTAAAATTGGTGCTTTAGAATACCGACACTTCACATGTAAAGTAGGGATTAGAGTGTAAGGGCGTGTGAAAGAGCACAAAAGCACTTAAGGCAAAAAAAAACACTTCTGTCTGCCATTTGAAATTTGTCCTCATGCAACTATTTCTCTGTTCATAAATGATGCGTGCGATATGGATGCTTCTTTTAACCGCCAAAATACTTTTAGAAACAATTGTCGACTAGATATAATCGCGTTGTAAGTTTGCTTGATGATTTCAAGTGTCACCTATAGAATGTTGTTTTAAAATCTCGGCAAATGCGGATTTTTAAGCAAATAATGAAACATTGAAATCATGAATGACTTAACGACTCACTTTACTCTTACCACCTCGGGCAGGAAACCCAACAAAACAAAAATTATCAAAGTAGCAATCGTGCTTGGAATACCTTTGTTATTAGCACTCAGAAGGGCTGAAAGACAAGGGCATAAATGAAATGCAGAAGGCTAAAAAGTTATGGCGCAGTTATACACAAGTATTCTGCCATAATGGCTTTATTTGTTTTGGTTTTTTGAATCGTTTGCGATACTGGGTCGATTTGATGGTAAACTTTGCTACTAAAGATATCAAGGATTCCTGATGATGAAACCACGATGTCACGAAGATGATGCAAGATCCCCGAATTAGTTTGAAATAAAGATTTTCTTCCAAACCCTTTGTACCTCCGTAACGGCATAAACTGCAAGCTATCAAGGTAGAACAGCGGATGGAATAGCTTTTACACCTAGCGCATAAGGAAATCGGCGGCCTTAAACTCCAACAAAGGTGGGAACTTATTATAATAAGTGTAATGATACTTATTGGTGGTCTAGGTGACTCCAGCTCTGCTTTTAACCTTTATTTACTCTATTTCTTAATCAAAAAACACTTCCATTTAGTTTCTAAAACCGCTTTCTTTGCCAGACGCCCATCTTTAAGCATGATTTCCCTAAGTAACTCTTCAAAAACCCTTACACCCACCACTGGTAATGAAACGAAGCAGTCAGCTTTCACTCCCATTTACGCTTTTAAAGCATTAGCCTTAACTTCGCATGTTGAAAGTGACAATATTTGCCTTGTCATTAGACCTATTTTTGATATCACTCTGGCCGTCGATTATGCTAATCAGACGAAGGAAACGAAGGTGTGGGTGGAGATTTAGGGTTGGGGAGGTGTGGAAGTGGTGACATATTGAATGAGTGAAGTTGAAAAAAATCATATCATTGACTTCTTCTGTCACCTGCTTTTCGAAGTGTTTTACTTTAGATGTAGGGCAGGCGAAACGCCAATGTCCATTAAAAGTAGGTGGTTAAACAAACTTTAAGCTGAACTATTCAAGGTATTAGTTTAGAAAAATTTCACTTACCTGGTCTACTTATTCTCTCTTTAATAGCTTATAAATGAGCGAACTAGATAATCCCGCAGTTCTGCCCCTATTCAGAGGCGTTTTTCCATTCAATTGTGTAGTAAAAGTGAGCACTGCACTTTAATGCTAGCATTCACTTTATTTCTTTGTCCCAATACACGGACCGTTGGCGTCACTTGTCATTCGGTTACCACAATGGTACCATGGAGCTCTGCACACAAGAGCTGCGTTCCTAGTTTCACAGACCTTTTGCCCATGGATAAAAAGTCACTTCCATACTTGTGTGCCTTACGACGCCTTCCAAAAACTATAACTTTCCAAGTTAGACACAATTATTGTGCATAACCTCCTTTCTTAGCATTGGCCTTAGCGTCCCACGAGGTCTCTTTTCTGCTTCTGTTGCCAAGGGGCTTTGTGTAAAGTCCACTCACGGGTTGGTTAGGAATGCCGATCAAATGATGAATACTGTGCTTCATTAACGACAGAATGTGCAGTTGAAGTAATTGGAGGTCCTGAACATTGCATCCTCTCCAAGGTAAACAGCATCCAGTGTCATGCAGCAAGAAAGTTCTTTTATCAGTCGCTTTTGTAAAACACTGCCTAAAAACAATATGAGGAAGGACTATCATGACCTTGGACGATGCTCTGAAAGGCTGTTTCATTTGGAATATGGTAAGCACTTCTTTAGCATTGGCTTCCTTCATTAAAACCTGGTATCTCTACATTTTCGGTCACTTTTCGATCAGGAATTTAAGGTACTCGTCGAAAATCAGCGTGTTTCTTGATACTCTTGCCCTCATGAGTCACTGTAAGGTTTGTAAGACCCAACAAAACTAGATTTACTGCTGACTAAAGTCGACAACGCAGCAATCCAATTAACCTTCCAAAATGTAATAGTGATTGCCGTTACGGATTATGATTCATTATTAGGATAGAAGATTGTTGGACTGCTATAGAAACGAACATCAAGTTAGCATGAGGCCGAAAGATCCGTGGAAACTGAAACGTCAATTTGCTACACCGGGACCCATTGGAACACTCATTTCGGCGCACCACATCTTCCACTCATCTATTCGCACTTCCAACTCCCCACGACAAACTAATTTACACCCTACTACGTCTAAACAAATGAGTGAAGAAGTTTAATACAATAATTTTGAGTAGGAAAGCCAGATGCTGACAGTGAAGCACAGCGCCTTCTTCGTTCAAAACCAGTCCTATTAGCTAACCTTTACCAAGTGTAACAGTGGACATCGGTTACTTGAAAAGGAGGGAAACGAGCTAAAGAGGGTAAAAGTGGCGGATTTTTGCTCAATCACTACACGCACCCAACCACCTATGGGAAAAACTATCATCGTGCCCCTCAGTTAATTCAAAATTCTTTCACGCTCAATCATAAAACATCACAATTTCATTCTTCCAGCAGTTTTTAAGACAAGGATGATATTAATGAGAGATTGATTATTTTTACCGTAATTAAACTAAATTCTACGTATGACCCTGACAATAGTGATCTACCAATTGGCTAAAAAGCTCACGCACTCGCAGGTATGACTCGCCGCAATGACCTGTCGATTGCTCATAGACCCATTTGCAGGTATGACGATGGCTTATTACCCTTGCTTAATTGATGAGGGCGAAGGAAAATTTAGGTATAGAGGGTCTTAACTGATTTAGCATGATAAAAGCAGTCAAGCTGTGTACGATTGTCCGGCTGTCGTGTATTTGTAGTCCTTGGATGTACTTGGAATTGCCAACAGCATTGACACAAAGTGTACTCTCGCAAAATACTAGCCAATCAGATAGAAACGAGCAACACAGTCCTTCCAGAATGCCCGATCTCGGGTCAAATCAAGAGGTTGAAATGTCCCAGAATGCCCAAAATCTTGAGGTGGGAGCTTTGTTCCGCGGAAGCAAAAATTTTTAAATTCTTCTTTAGGAAAAGTTGGCCATCATTGTCGTCCAGGATCTTTGTGGTATTGCGATGTCTTGCGTCTGCGCTTAGTAATTTATCTTCATGCAAGATTAAGTTGGTAGGACACTTTTGATCTAGGCCGCCTACAGAGCGATGCCCACTAGGAAATGCGATACCTGGAAGGTTTTCAGCTTTGCGCTCATTGGTAGAGTGTTATTTGGATGCTGATTCCTCGGTTAACCGCAGGCGCTGTTAGTTCTAGTGTCTTACTCTGGTGTCATTTCCAATGCTGATGTCAAATATGACCCTAATATATGTTAGCAAAATTTAACCCATGATCGACCGGTAAAATCTTAAGGAATAGTCACAGACGTTGATGCCTGGATTTTTGAAAATTTCTCTTGTATTCCCGGTAAATTCTCTACGGATTGGAGATAAACCCCGCGTCAAATTATCAGAACAAATCATAATTGTGTTGATCAAGTGAAGCTTGCCTTCCTTTGCGAAGCCAGTAAATTATTTTATCTAACAGGGTTGTTTAAAACTGTTCATTAAACAGACCAGT